AATCTCTCAAATCGGTACTTAATGGACTTAATCATCATTGAGGAATAGCCTCAGGGCAAATCCGTGATTTATAGCCTTCAAAATCCAAAGAAAATGCCCTTTCGTCGCCCAAAAAATTGTGAAAATTCTATCCGAATGTAAATTGGCCCAAATTGTTGCTTAAAAGTCTTATCATTTGTGGAGAATAGCATCTATAGACTTCATTATCGGTGGAGAACGGCCTCAGCCTGAATCCGTGATCTATAGCCTCTAGAATCGAAACAAAATTACATTTCTGGAGAATCACCCGAAATCTGTTATGGTACACCCTTTGGATTCTGCCAAAAATTGACCCGGAATAAATATTCCCAAATCAGTGATTAATGGACTTAACCATCATTGAAGAATAGCCTCAGGCCGAATCTGTAATCTGTAGCTTTCAAAATTCAAAGAAATGGTCTTTATTCGCCGAAAAATTTAAAAAATGTCATCCGAAAATAAATTGGCCCAAACCGGTGCTTAACATATTTATGACCATGGAGAATAGGATCAATACCCTTCCTTATCTATGGAGAACAACCTTGGCCTGATTCCGTGATCTTTACCCTCCAGAATCGAAAGAAAATGGCATTTCGAAAAAATTGCCCAAAATCTGTGATGGTGCCCCTTTGGAATATGCCAAAAATTGACCTTGTATAAATCCACCCAAATCGGTGCTTAATGGACTTAATCATGGTTGAAGAATAGTCTCAGGACGAATCAGTAATCTGTAGCCTTCAAAATCCAAAGAAAATGCCCTTTCGTTGCCCAAAAAATTACAAAAATTCTATTCGAATGTAAATTGCACCAAATCGTTGATTAAAGGACTTATCATCAATGGAGAATAGGATCTAGAGACTTCATTATCGGTGGAGAACAGTCGTGGCCGGAATTCGCGACCTGTAGCCTCGAGAATAGAAAGAAAATGGCATTTTAGAAAAATCGCCCGAAATCAATGATAGTACCCCTATGGATTCAGCCAAAAATTGACCCGGAATAAATCTTTCCAAATCGGTGCTTAATGGACTTGATCATCGTTGAACAATAACCTCAGGCTGAATCCGTGATCTCTAGCCTTCACAATCCAAAGAAAATGACCTTTCGACGCCCAAAAATTATGAAAATGTCATCCAAAAATATATTGGCCCAAACAGGTGCATAACGGACTTATCATCTGTGGAGAATAGGATCAATAGACTACATTATCGGTGAAGAACAGCCGCGGCCAGAATCCATGACATGTGGCCTCGAGAATAGAAAGAAAATGGCATTTCGGAAAAATTGCCCAAAATCTGTTATGGTACCGCTATAGATTCTGCAAAAAATTAACCCTAAATAAATCTTCCCAAATCGGTGCTCAATGGACTTAATCATCGTTGAAGAATAGCCTCAGGCCGAATTTGCGATCTGTAGCCTTCAAAATCCAAAGAAATGGCCTTTCTTCGCCCAAAAATTTAGAAAATGTCATCCGAAAATAAATTGGCCCAAACCGGTGCTTAACTAACTTATCAATCGTGGAGAATAGGATCAATAGACTTCATTATCAGTGGAGAACAGCCTTGGCCTGAATCCGTGATCTTTGGCCTCTAGAGTCGAAAGAAAATGGCATTTCGATAAAATCTCTTGAAATATGTAATGGTACCCCTTTGGAATATTCCAAAAATTGACCTTGTATAAATCAACCCAAATCGGTGCTTAATGGACTTAATCATCGTTGAAGAATAGCCTCAGACCGAATCAGTGATCTGTAGCCTTCAAAATCCAAAGAAAATGCTCTTTCGTCACCCAAAAAAATACGAAAATTCTACCCGAGTGTAAATTGGCCTAAATAGTTGCTTAAAGGACTTATCATCCGTGGAGAATAGGTCTATAAACTTCATTATCAGTGGAGAACAGCCTCGGTCGGAATCCGTGATCTATAGCCTCCAGAATCCAATGAAAATGGCATTTCGAAAAAATCATCTGAAATCTGTGATGGTACCCCTTTGGAATATGCCAAAAATTGACATTGTATAAATCCTCCCAAATCGGTGCTTAATGGACTTAATCATCGTTGAAAAATAGCCTCAGGCCGAATCAGTGATCTGTAGCCTTCAAAATCCAAAGAAATAGCCTTTATTCGCCCAAAAATTTAGAAAATGTAATCCGAAAAAAATAGACCCAAACCGGTGCTTAACGGACTTATCAATTGTGGAGAATAGGATCAATAAACTTCATTATCGATGGAGAACAACATTGGCCTGAATCCGTGATCTTTAGCCTCCAGAATCCAAAGAAAATGGCATTTTGAAAAAATCGTCTGAAATCTGTGATGGTACAACTTTGGAAATTGCCAAAAAATGAACTTGTTTAAATCCGCCCAAATCGATGCTTAATGGACTTAATCATAGTTGAAAAATAGCCTCAGGCCAAATCAGTGATCTGTAGCCTTCAAATTCCAAGGAAAATGCCCTTTCGTCGCCCAAAAAATTACGAAAATTCTATCCGAATGTAAATTGGCCTAAATCATTGCTTAAAGGACTTATCCTCAGTGGAGAATAGGATCTATAGACTTCATTATCGGTGGAGAACAGCCTCGGCCTGAATCCGTGATCTGTAGCCTTCAGAATCGAAACAAAATGACATTTCACGAAAATCGCCCGAAATCTGTGATGGTACCCCTATGGATTCTTCCAAAAATCGACCTGGAATAAATCTTCCCAAATCGGTGCTTAATGGACCTAATCATCGAAGAAGTATAGGCTCAGGCCGAATCCGTGATCTGTGTAGCCTTCAAAATCCATAGAAAATGGCCTTTCGTCAACCAAAAATTACAAAATTGCCATACGAAAATAAATTGGCTTTATTCGGTGCCTAACAGACTTATCATCCGTGGAGAATACGATCAATAGACTTCATTATCAGTGGAGAACTGTCGCGGCCCAAATCCGTGACCTGTAGCCTCGAGAATAGGGGGGAAAAAATGGCATTTCGGAAAAATCGCCCGAAATCTGTGATGGTGCCCCTTTGGATTCTGCCAAAAATTGACCCGGAATAAATTTTCCCAAATTGATGATTAATAGACTTAATCATCGTTGAAAAATAGCCTCAGGCCGAATCCGTGATCTGTAGCCTTCAAATTCCAAAGAAATGGCCTTTTTTCGCCCAAAATTTTAGAGAATGTCATCCGAAAATAAATTGGCCCAAACCGGTGCTTAACTGACTTATCAATCGTGGAGAATAGGATCAATAGACTTCATTATCGGTGGAGAACAGCCTTGGCCTAAATCCGTGATCTTTGGCCTCCAGAGTCGAAAGAAAATGGCCTTTCGATAAAATATCCTGAAATATGTGATGGTACCCCTTTGGAATATTCCAAAAATTGACCTTGTATAAATCCGCCCAAATCGGTTCTTAATGGACTTAATCATCGTTGAATAATAGCCTCAGGCCGAATCAGTGATATGTAGCCTTCAAAATCCAAAGAAAATGCTCTTTCGTCGCCCAAAAAAACACGAAAAATTCTATCCGAGTGTAAATTGGCCTAAATAGTTGCTTAAAGGACTTATCATCCGTAGAGATTAGGATCAATATACTTCATTATCGGTGGAGAACAGCCTTTACCTGAATCCTTGATCTTTAGCCTCAAAATCGAAAGAAAATGACATTTCTGAAAAATAACCTGAAATATGTACCTTTGAAATATGTCAAAATTTAACTCGGTATAAATCCGCCATTTAATCTTTTGGTTGATGCAGCTTCATTTGAATTCCTCCATTTCCTTATTTGTTTAGCTTGACTGCTCCTTGTTGGTTGTCTTTGATTTTTCAGTGGCAAATGGTGTATGTGAATCTTTGGCCATTTATTTTCTTCACAACTCAACATTGCAAGTTATTTCTCTTATTACCTCCAATTGGTGCTAACCATATTTGTCATCAATTTTGTGAGCTCTGTGGAAGTAATTTCCCATACTTATTATGTTGCTTCAACGCCTTGCAATAGCTTGGCATGTTTGTTGGTTTTGCTAATCACTACCACTTCTAATAAAATCTTGTCCTCAAGTCACCTTAGACGATGTCGAAAAAATTTCTTCAATATGAGTAATCCTTTTCTTTGACTTTGTTAATTTTTTATAGATTCTCTATTTCTCTTTTATTTTTCATCTTAGTTGAAAATCCAGAGTAAATTCTAAGTTCATTTTTTGTTTGTTCGACTTAATAGACACATAATCTTTACCTCTTTGTTATTTTTCATTCATAATCTTTTTTATAATTAATAGTTGTGAAGTTTCGAATCAAATAGGCTCTTCTTACATGTAGATCCATGAGCACTTCTACTATGCTATAAAGTATTGGTGCTTTAATGTACAACTTAAAGTTGTACCATAACATTAAAGGTATAAGTTCAGGTTGTACCACAAAGGAATTTGTGCTCTTATGTTATGGTACACCTTTATAACTTAAACTTGTACCATCAAATGAAAGTACAAGTTTAAGTTGTACCATAAAACAATTTGACAAAAGAGTATAGGTACAATCTGAAGTTGTACCATAACGTTAAAGGTACAATTTTAAGTTGTACCATAAAGAGAAAAACCTATAGCACCAATGCTATATAGCATTGTAAAATTCCTCGTAGATCCATAGCCTCATTGGCAAACGTGTCCAAGTTGTTACGAAGTTCACCTAGCCACAACATGTTTGTGAAATTTTTTTTTTTTTTTTTTTCCTTTCTGCTTTTACAATTATGTCTTGAGAGTTTCATTTTGCTAAATATTTCATACAACACATTTACAGTGTTATCTTCCACTCGCCGAAAAACGCAAGCGAATGGGCCATAAATAGCATTTATTTACCTTTTGTCATTACTAATTTACCCTTACTTCATCCATTGAATTAACATAGTTAATTAGGGGTTAGATTAGATTAGATTTAGCATGGTGCTAGCCTAATAGCATATGGTTCCACCCTAACAAGAAAAGAAAAAGAAATGAGAAGAGAAGAGAAGAGACGACGTGCGTTTGTTTGTGGTGGGTGGGTCTGAACGTCTATCCCCTATAAATAAACACAACGTGAATTCAAGCTTAGCTCCATTTTGCGCGCGTTTCTGACTCCTGCTCTTTTTTGGCAGGGTCAGAAACCAAGGGATCTCTCTCACCTCATCTTCTCCAATTCACCAAATCTCTCCTGGAATTTCATTCCATGGAAGCTGAAAGAAAATCCAGCCTCTTCTTCATCCAAAACGACGAACCGCCGACCGCCAGAAGCTTCAGCATCGATTCCAGCAATGGCTTCCGCCCCTGCATCAAGAAAAAGAAGAACAAAACCACAGGTAGCTGGATGGCAATGGAAATCAGAACGTTTTCAATTTTTGAAACATTACGCATCTTATTAATTGATTGTTTTTTCGAATCCCTAATTATTTTTGCAGGCGTTATGCAACTAATCAGGGCTGCATTGTTCATGATCAACAACAAATCCAGCAAGAAGAAATTGTTGGGCCTGGTTCGCCCGTTGCAATTGGAGAGCCACCAATTACCGCCGCCGTCGTCGTCACCGCCCGCGTTACGCCGGATTCAGGCGTCATCTGCGGTGGTGGCACAGGGGGATCGAGAGGTTGCTCCGCCGTCGCCGGCGGCGATGAGCCAGTACGCGTCGGCGAACAGCCTGGCGGATCTAGACGAGAAGGAGGAGGAAGAACATGGCGATTGCTACTACGATGGTGTGGAAGGGGACGAGATGATCGATTCCAAGGCGGAGGAGTTCATCGCCCGATTTTACCATCAAATGCGGCTCCAAGATCAACGCCCAAATTAGTTGTCTCGGTTCGACCGATTTCCGTACCTTGGAGCTTCTATGGATTTGTTCGGTTGTCTCTTTCGGTTGAATTTGGTTTGGCGGTTTGGTGTGAAATTCGGCTATGGAAAAAATGTGTTTCATTCTAGAGAGAAGCAGATTTAGTGAACTCTGTCATCATTCTTCGATTCTTTAATTTTTTCTTTTTTTTTCTCCTAACAATGAGAGTTTTCGTCTTGTGAACTTTCCTCTGCTTGTATGTAACCGGAGATTGAATGGCTCTACATATCTCAATAGAGTGGGGTTCTGGTGCACTAACGGGGTTACCGATACGTTGCATAACTCTAATGTAGTTAAAATTACGTTTTAAAACTTAAAAACTTATGATTTTACGTTTTTAAGTCACTAAAACGTTTCTACACAAAATCTTAGTTTTTATAACTTATGTAGTTAAAAACTCCGCTTTAAAACTTAAAAACTTACGATTTTACGCTTCTACATCACCAAAACATTTCTACTTAGAAACTCGCTTTTGACTACATTGCATAACTAAATTTGAGTCTTTCATTTTAAATGTGTCTCGAATCTTAGGGGTGGGAATTAATGGTTTTTTTTGTTTTTCTAGTTTTCTTAATTGGCTCGTATCTTCATTGTTTTAACTTTGATTTCAAAAAAAAAACTTGCACAGATGGAACGAGTATGCTATTTTCTACAAAATGAGATACATTTTCAAGTCGATTTTGTATCTCCTTCCTTTCTAAGTCAATTTGAAAATTTTTGCAAAGAGTGCATCATGATATATTGAATCTACAAAATTATCGGGGAAAAAATACGGCACCAAAAAATATCACCTCATACCACACTAGTATAGGAGTGGTATCTTATGTTGAAAGTTGTAAATGACGGATAATATATTTCTACTATCATATATTCAACCATTTTACAGTCTGGTGTGTTCAAATCACCATGATACACTTTTATACCACTTGGTATGCTCTTATGTAATACCAAACAATATCATCATGGTTTAGAGTGGTACTAAAAATCTAAAAAAAATGTATTCAAAAATTATATCAAAGTGAATATCATTTGAAGAGCACTTTTAATATTAATTCATGTTTTGTCACTAGAAAAAATTAATATCAATTTTGAAGAAACACATTCTTATATTTACTGCACAATCAACCAGACCCTCGAACTTCCATTCATCAATAAATGTCTATCGAAACTTCTACTCACCTTGAAGACTGATGAAGAGAACCGTAGCAAAGAAAGACGAGGTCGAACTTCTTTGAAGAGAATTCAAAGAGCGAAGAGAAGAAATACATACACATAGTAAAGCAACAAATCAAACTAAATGTTTCCTTGGTTGTGATCAGCTGGCCTTCCCCTTCTTCCGCTTCGGCGCCTTGGCGGGCTTCACCGAATTCCTGTCCTTAGAACAATTCGGACAGAACCAATCCTCCTGAGGGATACTCTGAAGAGGAGGATCACAGCAGTCTATGTGCCTAGCAACGCCACAACCTACATTCCCAGATTGATCCCCACACAGAAGCATCACATCACCTCGATCGCGGCCGCCGCAAACCTGGCACGCCACATCATCACCATCATCATCATTAATGCAGCTCTTGGGCGAACAAGAAGAAGAAGCTGCAGGGTTCGCCACTACGACGATCTCCTCTGCCTTCCTCGCCAGGTTGCTGAACGACTTGTCTGCCCATTTCTGGGTGTTGAAGAGGACATGCTTGTCCAGAGAATAGCCTGTTCTGCACACGTAGTCCACCAGGTAGTCAGCTACCACGCAGGGTATCTCGTGCCTTAGAAACTCTTGTACCCATCCGTCGACGATCAGGGTTCCGTGGGCGACGACGGCGTAGTCGATCCCTGAGGAGAGGAAACGGGTGTATGGCGGGGAGGTTGCTAGTATTGTCCCGCCTCCTGCCTTCACCGCTCGTTTCAGTGTGTCCTGTTCAGCCAGAAATGGAGGATATGAGCGCGAAAGCTTAAATGAAATGATGCTTGCAAAGAGATGTGTTAAACTTACCAAAGGGGGAGCGATGCATTCCCCATAGATGACAATCCTCATACCATGAAATGCACCGTGTCCTGTTTTCTCTCTGAGTAGTCTCCATTTCCTGGGGGATTCTAAATTTACAGCGCCGTCTTCATTGACCCCTTTCTTATGCCATTCATAAGGCTCCTCAGGAAGAAACTTGCCTTCCTGACTGCAGGCGAACAGATAGTCCGTCTTGAGAATCCACCTGCAAGTAAATAGAAACCAAAGCTCATCAGTTAACATGACACTTTTGTCAGACAGCTAGTAAAAGGGATTAAAGTTGAAATGTAAATTCGAGTAATATATTCTAGGAATAACAGGGTAATGAATAATCTTCCAAGTTAGTCAGGCGAAAGGGAAATCTCTCACCTCCCAGAGGCAGCAGCAGCGAAGACCTTTTCTGTTCTGCGGAGAGGATCAGCAGCAACTAAATGAGTTGCCTGGTATGTCCACTGGTGAGAGTCTCTCCAGGATTTCCCCTTCAATGGTTTTATAACCTTCTGAAACTCCTTCCTCTGCAATCTATTACACCCACTAAACATGAAGAACATAGGTTCTCTCTCAATGTGATTTGAGATCGCTCCAACTTCTGCAGAAGCAGGTTTGTCTTCTGGAGCTACCTGATCACCACCATTTGCTGTCGTCTTACATGGTTCAACATGGTTTCCAGCCTTGCTTCCATTATTAAGTACTTCAGCAACCGCCGTATTCTCCTTGTCTGCTTCCATGGTGCTGTGTGTCCTTTTTCTAGATTTGTTCTTGATACTTGGACGACAACTTGCTGGTCGGTTTCTCTCCAGTATGTCTTCTGCAGCTTGCTGCTTTTCTTTCCCCGTCGCTTTGCTAGAGTTGGAGGAATTATCATTAACAGTGGAAACTGCCTTTCTCTTGCTCTTACTTGAAGGTAGCTTTTGAGTTTTACTTTTCTTCTTTGTATCACCATCTCGTTCTGAGATTGAATTATCTCTCTTTTCTGAATCCTCCATCACATGGTCCACTTTAGAGACAGCAGAACTTTTCTCCATTTGTTGACCTTGGGATTCCTTGCCTATAGCTGCCAAACCGACTGTTTCCGTCCTCTCTTTTACAAGTTCATCACTTCGGTCAAATGTTTCATCAGGAGGCTCGGTCTCGTCATCCATAAACCCAGTGTTATCCTGGATATCGGCCCTTAGATCAACAATAAGTTCTCTTTCCACAACACCTACTTGAGCAACATCAAGAAGTGGTTTATCGATCTCTGTGACCCTGGAAAAGTTTGCTTCATTCTCTGTTCCACCATTTCCGATACACGGATCAGTTGCCAGAACTTCCTTAGCAGCAGCAACTTCTTTCAAATAAATAGAACCCTTTTGATTCACAGCATTTTTCAGTTTCAGTCTAGATCCAGTCGTCTTCCCAGTAGCAGTGTGCTTCCGAAATTGTTTGGACAGTAAGCTGTCATCATCCTGCCTCTGATTGGTATCTGAAGTAGTGAACATAGAGGCCCCTCTTTGATGATTTGTATCGTCCACAAGTTTGGATTTGTCCGCACCAGCATTTTTCAGTGTCAGTCTAGATCTCATTGTCTTCCCTGTAGCAGTGTGCTTCCCACCTTGTTGGAAAAGTAAGCTGTTATCTTCTTGCCTCTGATTGGTATCTGAAGTAGTCAACATAGAGGCCTCTCTTTGATGATTTGTACCATCCACGAGTTTCAAATTATCTGCACCGAAATTTTCACTGTTGTTATTGGTAGGTGAATTCAGCTCTTTCAATCCACCCAATGGGGTCTGAAGCTTCATCTCAGGACTTAGGTGTTCTGTTCTTTCCAAGGTTGTAGTCCCACCAAATGGCGGCTCTTTCAATCCACCAACTGAGGTCTGAAGCTTCATATTAGGACTTAGGTGTTCTGTTCTTTCCAAGGTTGTAGTCTCACCAAATGGCAGCTCTTGCACAAGTGATTTCTCTCTCGAAGTCACCACTACCTCCTTGGAAGAGTTGTTTGTGGAATTCAACATTGCATTCGAACTTACTATACCATTACCAGAGCGAACATGATCACCATCTGGCAAAATGTCTGACTTCCCTGCCAATGTAGTTGATTTCAATCCTTGAGCGCCAGAGCTAACAGTTGGACTTCCCGTTACAAAAGCTTGTTGATTATGGCTCTTTGGACTAGACTTCCAAGTATCTTTCCTTTGCTTGCTACCCTCTGATACCTGTTCAGAGACTAATCGCTCAGAGATCTCAGAATTGGAACCACTTCGTTTCTTTGCATCTTCAACTTTGGCAGAAGTGACATTTATGCATTCTCCTATTTGTACTTTCGGAGAGCAATCAAGACTTTTTGACATTCCAACAAAAAGTGCTGTCGGAGACCTTTGTGGAATTTTCCTGTGGTAACTGATAACGCTGGACTTCGTATTAGAATGTGAAGGTTTTTCAACATTCATAGAGACAGAGTTCATCTTATCACCCGCCTTTGCAGAACCTGGAGTTCTCTCTGATGGGCCTGCCAAATGGGATGCCGTATCCACCTTTTTCTTAGTGACCGGAGTTATTAATACCTCCTCATCATTGTGAACTGTCAAGAAACCATCAGACCCTACCCTCGTTGTGGGTACTTTAGAAGTTGATTTTGACAAGTCACTGGTCTTGGGAGATGCATTTCTCGTAATCTGCAGGGTTTGGTTTACGCTGCGGCTGGTAGGCAGCTTGAGAGAGGTATCATCAGACACATCATCTTCGGAATCCATTGCTTCAGCTGCCATCAACTCCAACTCATAGCCACTGGAAAATAAAAAGCAGAAAGGAAGCATGAATATGAAGTGTCTCCTTATTAAGGCAATTTGCCAAGCCACTGAACAAGAGACGTGCTACAAGGAATGAAGGGGGAAGGAGAAACATAACACTATAAGGAATAAGATTGTTACTTAAAGTTAATATCCAAAATCAAGTAGAATCATCAAATTAAACATTTTTTGGTGCCTCATTCTATGAATGTAAGAGTATAGTGCATTAGTTGCCCATTATTGGAAGATTGGGCTGAAGATTTACAGGGTGTGAATCGAAGGGGATTACATGTACCATGAGTAAGAAAAGACTCTACAGAGCAAGAATAAAACAGAACAGATTGAAGGACAGGAATGATAATGGCTCAAACACAGACACGTACAAAATGATTGAGATGATGTTCCTAGATGCAGCAAAATGAAACAATGTAGATCATTCACATTACCTCTTACTATATTCATCTTCTGGGAGGATCTTCCAGTTCCTCAAGCTGCAAAAGAGAAACTAGCTTAACACGCAGAATGGCGGAGGGACCATGGTTCCAGCCAAAAATCACAGGAAGCAACCGTAGACATAACAGCACCTGAAAAGAACTTACCAATCTTCCAGCCATTGATGATTGACAAGTTTTATATGGTGCACCCTACGTGCAAGTTCATACTTTTCACCTAAAAAATAGTTCAGCTGCCATTATACACACAAAGGTTCAAAAGGTACAACATGCAGAGCTATAAAACTACAGTATATTATACTGAAGAACGGTGCAAGATAAGTAAAGACTGTCACAAAGAAGCTAAAGACCAAAGCAAGCTTTACAATGAAGACTCTTGCAGGGACACCATGCAGGTTTGCCAGGAAAGTAGACAGTAGAGCATATATGTACGAGTGGGTTTGACAAGAGACGCCAGTCCTACAAAGCTAGAAACCAAGCCCTCCTTTTAGGATTTTATCACATAATTGAAGATTTTCAAGCGATTATTAACTATGATAAATGAGCAAGCAACCCACACAATCTTGAGATAGAGGGCATCAGAAACCAAATCCAATCTCCATTCTGAAAGGTTTAACATACAATATGCATATTCCACACCTAAACCAGAAAAGAGAAGTCACAGCAGAAGAAGTTGACTGAAGTACCAACAATGCCCTTAGCTCACAGAAGAAAGGCTCACCTTCATTTTTATAGCATATGAGATGAGTGATTTTGCTGGCCACCAATGCCTTGGAAAATTGCGCACCCATGAGGCGAACCATAGTCTAGAAACACAACTCCAACATCAGAAATGAAAATGATCTACTGCATTTCGCGTAGTCAAAAATAATTGAGCTATGGCATACCATAATGTCCTCTCGATCTCGGCGCTGGTACCCAGTTAAGCAAATAATGAGATTCTCAGCACCTGGTATCCCATTCAAATCTTTTGGAGGTTGATACATCACCTGAAGATCAAAATGAAGAAAACCATAGAATCTCAGCCCAACTACAGCGAGGGAATCCATGAATGAAAACCCAACAGCACAAAACACACACAAATGGAGGAGCGCAGCCATCGTTACACCAAACCAGAGCCACAGTTTCAGTTTTGAAGCATAACAGCTGGTAACAAGAGCAAATAGCGGAGAAGAGAGCACTCACAGAAGTTGCATCGACAATCAATCCAATATCAAAACTATGGTCGACCCATAACTTAGTGACCACTGTCTTTCCATCATTTCTAGCAGAAACACAGGCCGGATCATCCTACATATACACCCGAAGACAACGAAAAGTTATTCAGAAAATGAATGAACATCAATGCAAGAACTAGCACTACAGCAATTGAAAATCCCGAACTGAAATAGCAGAACCCTAAATCCACGATTCAACATCACTTACATAAATAGTATTGTCCACTACTAGATGAGTAAAATCCTGAGCCTCAATTCCGCCGCGACTCAAGAGCATGGATCGAACCTGCACAAACGAACAACAAATTGAAGAAATCCCCAACCTCAGACCCAAAAAAAAAAAAAATTGAACTCGCAGCACTGTAATTAGAAGGGAATGACCAACGAAACTAACTGAATCGAATTGAAACCATAAGCCAAAACCTGTTGCTGGCCGGGAGGATCGAAACCATAGAGAAGAAAGCGAATGCCCAAGAACGTCTTCCCGTAAGAACTTGCTGCCTGCATTTCCACAAAATCTAACTTCCCTGCGGAAGGGAGATCCCGGAGAATTGAACCGCCGTCGGAACTTGGAGTAAATGAGATCGATTGGACTGAGAGGAAGGGTAAGGTTTCGATTTAGTGGTGCACGGGCGCCTCTCTTTCTGTGGAAAGCTTCTCGAAGAAGACTTGAAGCGGTGGGAGTGAAGAAAGTACACAGTGGAAGAATTTGAAAGCGGGAGAATTTTTTCACGAAGTTCAATATTTAGGATGCCTGGCGGGAGAACGAAATTTCGCGTGCTGTGACAACTGGGCTTTTGAGATTCGTGGTAGGCTCTTGAGTCTTGAGAGTCGATGGAGCCCAGGCCCAAAATAACAGAAGCTGTATAAAAGGATCTTCAGATACAGGCCAGACCCGGCTCTCTGATCCAGGTACTAATATATAACAATGGTATTAAACTATTAATATACATGAGTTGCATCTTATAACAAGAATGTAATGGACAAGGACAAGTAGTTAAGGGTAGTTTGGAATATTGGATACATCATTTTGGGTATGTGGTATTTCGACATTTTGTACTAATGTTGCTATTATGACATTTCGTGTGGTATTTCAGTTTAAATGTGGTAATTCGTCCAATTGTATTATTTGGATAAAAACATTTAAATATTGTGGTATTTCATTATTTAGAGATGGGATGGAATGAAAAAAAAGTTGAGAGATGAGTTATTTGAAATAACTAGAAGTAGATAAGTACTTCAAATAACTCACAATTATTTCATAAACAAAATACTACATTTCATTTTATTTTTGCCAAACCGAAATAACTTTTTGAATTACCTCACCCAAATGACCAGATAGTTGGGTAGTTGTAACCATAAATAAACATGTGGGGAATTTATGGTTGTAATAGTTAGGTAGTTGGCTTGAAATTACTATATATTCGTAACAAATACTAGTTTAGCCGGTTCCCGGGGAATTAATTGGAGAGTAGTTTCAAAGTCCGCGAGGGCGTGCTGGGTTCCCAACTTCCCATACATATTGTGTAGTACCAAAAGTCAGCTGCAAAGCTCCTTCGCGAAACTTCCGTCAATTCCCGTTTCTCCACTCGATCGCCGTCGTCGCGCAAGATGGGTTGGTTGAGCCGGTTCCTGGCCGCGGTGGCTTTCCTAGCCGTCGGCGTCGTCTTCTCGCCGGAGACCTTCGGATCCAAGTCGGCCCAGCAGCTCTCCACCTACCTCAAGCTCGCTCACCTCCTGGCCTTCTCCACCGCTTTCGGCGCCGCCCTCTGGGTCACCTTCATCGGCGGCATCATCATGTTCAAGTAAACCTACACGGCTCCTCCCTTCCTTCGATCGATTTCAATTCATCATCTCGCTTGTCGGAACTATTATTTTTTTCTCACATCTAGGGCTTCGTTCGAGTTTGGAATTCAGCATTTTTTTCTTTTCTTTTGTGATCTCTCAATTGAAGTAATAATTCGTCTTTTGCCTTATCTGAATTGTGATTTTGCCACAAAAGGAATCTTCCGAGACATCAATTTGGTAACCTGCAGAGCAAGATGTTCCCTGCTTACTTCTCGATGGTTGGAATTTGCTGCGCCATATCTGTGGCGGCTTTCGGGTACCTGAACCCCTGGCAATCAGCATCCACAACCGAGAGATATCAGCTTGGTTTTCTGCTCTCTTCCTTCGCTTTCAACCTCTGCAATCTGTTCGTTTTCACCCCCATGACCGTCCAGGTACATTAAATCGCAATTGCATATATACACATGTGCGATCGATCTTCTATCTCATGCTGCAGTAGCTCCTTGGTCGCAAACTTGGAACGAGCATGAAAAAATTAACGATACTTCTTTATCTTTTGAGTTGTTCTGCCGAACCGTTGTATGATATGGATGTATGTGGTCTCTTTACCCTGTAACACTTAAGCAGAACTAGTGGATGGCCCTGTAGAAGGCGTGAGGAGATGTCTTATGACGTCCTTCTTGCTCCTTTGTATGCATACTTAGTATTAGGTGTTGGTTGGGCGTCTTGTTGCAGAATCGGATGTTCCTCCTTCTGCGCTATTTTTTTACCGTTACTTGGAATGAATGATGCTCACTATTATTGGAAATATCTTGAACAAAGGAATCAGTAGAGAATCTGAACAGCATCTCTTCTATCTTATGCCGCAGTAGCTCCTTAGGTTGTATGATATGGATACCTGTGCTCTCTTTACCCTGTAACTCTTAAGTAGAACTTCAAAAGGCGTAGAATGGATGGCCCGCCGTGAGGAGATGCCTTATGAAGTCCCTCTCGTTTTTGTATACATACTTTATACTTAACACTAGAGGGTGTTGGTTGGGTTTCTTGATGTAGAATTGGATGTTCCTCCTGCAGCATTTTTGTTTACCGTTTCGCAGAATGAATGATGATGCTCACTATTGTTGTTTTGAACTAAGAAAATCAGTAGAGAATCTGAACCCCCATCGCTTCCACATAGTAGCTAATGCGTCGCTTCTGTTTTCGGTTTTGTTTCAGATGATGAAGCAAAGGCACAAGATAGAGCGAGAATTGAACATTGGAGACGAAGTAGGGTGGTCAAAGAACTTGAAAGTTGCAAAGAGTGACCCAAAGCTCGCTTCCATGAACAAGAAATTCGGCATGATCCATGGGTTTTCATCGCTTGCTAATATCATGTCCTTTGGTGGCCTTGCCATCCATTCTTGGTACTTGGCAGGTAAGTTGAATCTGTAAGTCTGGAGATTGGGGATGATGTTGTATCCCATTACCAGTGATCTGTAATACTATTTGTAGTTTTGAATGCAGACTTGTGAAAATCTCTGCCGTTTCAAGTACTGTTTTCTCAATTCTACCTTGTATCAGACGATCTTTAGACAATCACATTCCTCTGAAGCAATAATAATTTTCACGCTTTAGATACGCCTGTTCTTTTTTCCAGATACTTGGATGAGATGAGACAATGTGGGTAGGTTGATTTTTTATTAGAATTGTTGGGCGTGTTGGTATGTATGTTGGATTTGAAAATTAAGGCCCCGTTTAGTATCATTTTATTGTTGTTGTGATTGCATTGGTGTTTTGGCAACAGACCTACAACAAAACAGAAAAAAAAATATAAAACAAAAACATGTTTAGTTGGTAAATCTGAAAAATCATAGAAATTGACAACAAGAAACAAAAACGCGTTTAGTTGGCAAATCTAACATAACAACTACACCTATATTTGCAACCTTTGGATTTATGATATATTTGAAAGAGTTCATTGTTTGTTTAGTTGATTTAAAGACTTTTACATCATGGGGCAAAATTTTGCCTTCCATAACTAAATCGGGTCGTTTGCTTGTTGGATTTGAAAAATGAGAGTTTTGGCCAACAAAAATCGTGGGATTTATGTTGGATTTATTGAATTATGGATTTGAAGAGTCTAATGTTTGCATGATGGATTTGTGATGGATTTGTTAAATAAATAACTAACCATCAATGATTTGCAAATCCCAAATCAATATGTGGGATTTACAAGTCCGTGGGGTCACGGATTTGGTTCCAAAATAAAGACCAAATCCGTGGACCCCACGGATTTAGCACCCTTCAACAAACAATGGACTTATGTTAAATCAATCAAGCTTGGGATTTGGGTACCAAATCTAGGGATGGCAATGGGTCGGGTTGGGTCGGGTTTTGTCAAACCCAAACCCAAACCCATGGGTTTATCTTTGAAAAAAACCCGGGGTAAAACCCATCGGGTTTGAAAAACTCAAACCCAACCCAACCCGTTGGGTATCCGCGGGTTCATGGGTACACATGGGTTTTGTCGTAAAAAATTTACAATCACAAGTTCTTATCAAAATTAAAGTCAAATATCAATCTCTCAATATAAATTATCCATATATAAAACACCATTCTAGAAAATTCAAGCAAATCACAAATTAACTATACAAATTGTTCAACACCAATCTAGAAAACTCATGAAAATTGAAGCAAATCACAAATTGTCCATAAATAACATGTTTAATTGAAAGCTTCTTTCTTTCAATTAAGTTTCTTTAGTCTCCACTCCATAACATCAACTTCATTCTACACAATTAAAAAGAAAAAATTAGACATGTCTCCACAAACATAAATAAGGATAGTTGTTTAGAATATTAAATATACCGAAAAAATTAATTATATGAGTGGGCGGGTACCCACGGGCCGGGTTTACCTAAACCCAAACCCAACCCAACCCAGTGAATAGTGAACGGGTTTAAACCCAAACCCGGCCCAAAACCCGTCAACACGGATTTTACCCGTGTTGACCGGGTTGGGTCGGGTGGGTACCCGTGGGTTCGGATTTTGTTGCCATCCCTAACCAAATCCATGACCCAAATCCAACAAGCAAATGACCCCGAAATGTGGTATTTGCAAATACGCGGGTTTTTGTATTTGGATCTAAAAAATGGTCTAAATTCATGGATCCCACAGATTTTTATACCTCAACAAACAATGTATTTATGTTGTTTGGGATTTGGTTGTCAAATCAATCACCCAAATCACTCGAGCAAACCATACTACATAAATACATTTCTCATATTTTCATCTAAACTAATTACGACAAAATCTTTTGGAGAGGAACCCAAAAATAAATCCGTATAGGTGTGGCTTAAAGCAAAAAATTATTAATGAATGTTTGAAAATAATTGGAAAGTATTGAGTTTACGAAGACTAAGTAGAGAAAGTTTAGTATTTGATGAAAAAAAGGAGAATTAAAACTAACCACGAAAAAACTAGCCAATTGGAAATGATTGGGGCAGTCATTTACAAATGACTCAATTGTGTCCTTTGGGGATGACTCAACACGTTTGCCATATGCCTACTGTCTTCTTGAACCTTGGTTATTACCAAGTTTAGACCAAGTTTATGAGTTGAATATTTTATAATTTGTGGAAAATTGCCAATACCAATATTATAAAATAAATGATTCACCTTATATTTTTTTCTATGTCATCCGGTTGTGTACACTAGTGAGAGTGCTAGTTCTCATGTACCCTTCCTTCTCTGTATCTCGTTAATCTGAAATGATTTCTATGACCAAAAAAAGCGCTAACGAATCCTCCTCTTATCTCTGGGTAAAGTAGGTTAAGAGCTAGCTTCCCACTATAAGAACTACACATTTTCTCTCCAATTGAGCAACACAATTACAATTTGGCTTCTTCATCGTCTGTCTCAGTCAAAGTGTTCGGACCAAGAATTGTGAAACAATATCGGAGGTTGTACAGGAAAAATCAGCGGCAATATATTTTGTACGGAAATCACAATTTTATTGTGGTTCAATCATCTCATACCACTAAAATTGCCAATATAATTTCATAAACACAGGTTCAGACATGATATGCATATATTAATAAATATAAGATTTGTGAGCAATAATAATGCCTCCAGCTGTTGGGATTTTTCGTGAAATCCAGTAGGAAATTCCAATAGAATAAAACTTTGTCGTGCAACTCGTTTTTGGGTGTTAATTACAAGAATAAAATTAAAAGAAGGATTGAATGACTTGAATGAATCAGATCAATCACCTTCTCTATACATACATAGTCTGCAAGCATTACAAATTAGCCGCACAGTGCCAGCTCCCGAGATTGAAACCGCGTTTGTCCCTTTTACTAGATTCTGGTTTCCTCTCTGTGCGTCTCCTTCCCACGTCCTTCCCATCATTCTATTTCTTGGCACCGAAATTAAAAAGGAACATATTAAAATATTAATCAACGTACAATGAGAAAATGGAACCTTCTTATTACAAGGATGGTCAAATTTAGTTACCTTGCTTAAACTGTTCTTTAACGAGGAAAAGGTTCTTGAATTATTGGTAAAAAATGGTCAAACATTCCTCCCTATGCTTCTTAATTCGTTATGATGATGAATGTTGGATTGATACTGATACTATTTTTCCTCATGAGGCGTCTAATGAGACCGTTTGGATAAAATGTTCACTATTTAAGAATAGATTCATATTTCAATAACTCAAATAAATTTTCTTTCACCTACTACTACTACTACTTAATTTCATGCTTCCTGTTTGCTTCCAACTGTTCACGTTTACATCATTCAGTATTTCTCTTTATCCTTTGGCTTATATGGGTTTTGAATGAGGGTTTTGTAAAATGCATTGTTTTCAAAACGGGACCGAGCATCAAACTGGATTATCGAGAGATTTAACCTTCAACGATTAACCGGTAAAAAAAATTTAGAAAGCTGGTCAATTATAAATTGGAAAGCAATATTATTGGTTAGATAGTTCTAAAACTTAATACTAGTCAATAATTTGACAATTCCACATTGTATCTACATATCTAAGAGTACGATGGAATATTCATAAAAATAAATTGCACATACAATTCAATAATAAATCTTTGAATTAGTGTCGCTTGAATTTCGGTTATAGATTTATTCTCCTTCTATAAGATAGAAAGACTGAGTTAATTGAACAGTTATCAAATCTTACTTCTCGGACAAGATATTTAGCGTAGGTGTGACTATTTCATGTCAAACTGATCGATCGAAGTTTAATAAACACTAGTAAACCGAGTCATTTGGCTCATTTCACAAAACAAGACATTTAATCATGACTTAAAATCAGAAGATTCAGAAAAATTATCTTCTAAGACTTTGAATTTACAATCCCGATATATAACGGACACACGAATACAAGAGTTCTCCTAACTAGAAAAAAACAAAGACTTATTGGGGACTTCTTGTATGAATCCAGAATATATACATGTTGCTGCTTCTGCAACCAATAACTCTAGATAGATACCAATAATTTAAATCATATACAAAAATCCATCTCAAAGATATCAAACTCATGTGGGGAGAAATGACCGTATCACATCCTTTTCAATCAACTCGTGTAATCTAAGCTATGCCGACGTGAAGCAAATGACAAAGTCAATATTTATAAGCTTTTATTTTTTTTTTTTTTTTTTTTTGTGACAAAACAGAAGGCACAAACAAAACATAACAAAGTGGATTGGGGTTATTCTGCATGTGCAACCGGTTATGGATAAGTTCTTCCATCACTTTTATGCAATATTTTTTTGCAAACGGACCCGCCAACTCTCCATTTCCTTCTCACCATCGCCACCGCAACAACAAAAGCGGTAGAGGGAGAAAGCTCAACGGAGATGAGAGAATGACGGCAGCAGTTGTTGCAGTGAATGTGAGGGAGTCGACGAGGTGAGCAGCTACGGAAGACGGATCATTTGGGCGGTTGGGAGATAGTGTCAAGAACTAACTCGAGTTGTTCGAAGAAATTTAATGATGTATCTTATACCACTTTCTAATACGTCCCCTCAAATGAAAGTTAAATTATAAACTTGAAATTTGCACAGACAATCATCATACTTTATGCATCTTTTAGGTCTAAGAAAGCTCAACATGATTGATAGCCACCCAGACACTAGGTTGATGCATCCAACTTCAATTTGGTTACGCCATCCGATCTCAACAAGGATATCATACCGAGTACTACATGGATGGTGGCATCCCGTGTCATAGATATAATCCAGTGTCTAATTGGTGGAAGGTATTATGATTCGGTCTTATTTAACATGATGAAGATTTCGGATACACCAAACATCCCCGTTCGAACAATGTTCGACGATGTCTAAATTGTAGCAATAATGGTAACCCAGCATTCGTCGAAGTCAAAGTGCATCTCATCCATTCGTTTTCCACCGTTAACAGGGACACCAAATGAATTAATTACTTTACATAAGTTAGTGTTAAACGAATTTCTCAAAATATAACATGATGACCATTATTGTTGGCGTCTCATTTTCATGAAGAATTCGATCCGTATTTGTAGTCGCAGAACTCTCAAAAAATCACCATAAAAGTGGTGTAACATGACATATATTTCGGATACACCAAACATCCTATGTCAAATAGTGTTTGACGAGATCTAATATGTAGCAACAATAGTCACCCAGTCCTCGTCGAAGTCAAAGTGCATCTCATCCATATGTTTTTCCATCGTTAACAGGGGGCAAAAAATGGAATTAATTACTTTACATAAGCTAGTGTTACGTGGATTTATCAAAATATAAACCCATCTTAATAACAAGAAAATAAACACCAATTTCTAATCAAATACTAAAATAAATCCAAAACCTACCAGAACAATTATAATTTATAAGTAATAAATAATACTAATATTTCAAATAATAACAATTACGAACTAAATAGAAAAAAATACTAAAAGATACGCAAATCCAGAATTTCTCAAATTATTATGACTGCACCATTCTCGTAACAGTTAGCATCTCCATTGGTGCAATGGCATTTGCAATTGCATTTGTTTTTTTTTATTGTTACTTCATTTTTTTGCAATCCAACTCATCTTACTTGCATTGCACCACATCAATGCAATTAACTTGCAATTGCAACTAATTTTTTTGATTTAATTTATTAAAATATAAACACTCAAATAATCAAATTAATGAATAATTTAATAATAAAAAAGATGATGTGGCTTGCATTCCATAATTGCATTATATGCAAGCTTGCAAAGATGCAATTGTCATCTACATCAATGCAATTGCATAATGCAATTGCAAATGAATGCCATGTCATAATGCAATTCTAATTGCAATTCCAATGGAGATGCTCTTAGTCATATATAGTCGAGGTTGCAATTGTCAGTTGGAGAAGTAAATTATTCGAGGAAGTGGTAATGGTAATTAAATTTCTATTAACATAGTTATAGTGGGTTGATAGGAACTAAATAACTAGATCTGCTTAAGTTGGTTATGGCCGATGGGTGGTTGTATCTAATGGAGTATTTTTTGGGATGACCTCTACGAGGAGCAGCTATTGGTAAGAAGTTGACAGGAGGAAGAAGATGTAACGCTGCATAACAACACGAGTAAGTCGGTTGGATCCACGAACTTGAGATTTTTAACCAATAACGAGTTACTTATATAAAGCAAAAGTTCATTAGTTATTCACATTCAGCTCATACTATCAGCAAGCATAGTATATCTTGAAATTTGACGACTCTTAGATAACTTCAACATGAAGTTCTACAAGTTCAATATTTGATATAACTTAGACTTGATGTATTTATAATGGATCTTTGTTACCGTTGCCTTTTCATGTATTCAATCTATCCAATATAATTTTTTTTATTTTTGAAATGATTTAATTTAATTATAAAAAAATATTTTGGTAAAAGTAACGTCCGGTCAAACTAAGGTGTTACTTTTTTTCACTAACCTCTTGCAACATTTACTCTGTTTTTCAGAGCAATTATTTTAATGTTCTTCTTTACGCGGACAATACAATCATATATGCAAATTTTGGATGACATTATAAATTTTGCTTTCCAGATAGGATAATTATCCTCATCAATATAATTATTATATTAAAATATAAACACTCAAATAATCAAATTAATGAATAATTTAATAATAAAAAAGATGATGTGGCTTGCATTCCATAATTGCATTATATGCAAGCTTGCAAAGATGCAATTGTCATCTACATCAATGCAATTGCATAATGCAATTGCAAATGAATGCCATGTCATAATGCAATTCTAATTGCAATTCCAATGGAGATGCTCTTAGTCATATATAGTCGAGGTTGCAATTGTCAGTTGGAGAAGTAAATTATCCGAGGAAGTGGTAATGGTAATTAAATTTCTATTAACATAGTTATAGTGGGTTGATAGGAACTAAATAACTAGATCTGCTTAAGTTGGTTATGGCCGATGGGTGGTTGTATCTAATGGAGTATTTTTTGGGATGACCTCTACGAGGAGCAGCTATTGGTAAGAAGTTGACAGGAGGAAGAAGATGTAACGCTGCATAACAACACGAGTAAGTCGGTTGGATCCACGAACTTGAGATTTTTAACCAATAACGAGTTACTTATATAAAGCAAAAGTTCATTAGTTATTCACATTCAGCTCATACTATCAGCAAGCATAGTATATCTTGAAATTTGACGACTCTTAGATAACTTCAACATGAAGTTCTACAAGTTCAATATTTGATATAACTTAGACTTGATGTATTTCAGTATTTATAATGGATCTTTGTTACCGTTGCCTTTTCATGTATTCAATCTATCCAATATAATTTTTTTTATTTTTGAAATGATTTAATTTAATTATAAAAAAATATTTTGATAAAAGTAACGTCCGGTCAAACTAGGGTGTTACTTTTTTTCACTAACCTCTTGCAACATTTACTCTGTTTTACAGAGCAATTATTTTAATGTTCTTCTTTACGCGGACAATACAATCATATATGCAAATTTTGGATGACATTATAAATTTTGCTTTCCAGATAGGATAATTATCCTCATCAATATAATTATTATATTATATTATATTAATTAATGATGTGTTCACATTTTCCAGGAGGGCATCTTGGTAACATCCCATCTCCAATTCTTCATTCTTTAAAGCCTCCCTGTGTCGCAGATAGATTGCCATTAGGCAAAAGAAGCGAGAAGCGGAAGTTTCTTCCCCATCCCACAAAGAAGTGCCAAACAAGAAAGAAAACAGAGCAAGACAGACCAGACGGGCAGAGTAAAAATTCCATTCCATTCCAAAAAAGGAAGAAAAGAAGAGAAAAAGCCCAGAAATGGGAGAAGCAGTTGTACTTTGGATTCCGGACGAAGAAGACGATCATCATCATCATCATCATCTTCCTTCGGGCTCTGGCAGCAGCGGCGGAGTTTCCATGGCGTACTGCAGAATCTGCCACGAAACCGGATTCGAGAGCTTCAAGAGCCTGGAGGCGCCCTGCTCTTGTTCTGGAACCGTTAAGGTAAGCCACTTGCTACAAAATCCTCAATTTTCCTTCTCCCAATCCCATCTAGTTTTCTGGGTCGTCATCCAAAATTGGTTTGATTTCTAATCATATACATACGTACATGATTTCGATCATTCATGTGAATCGCCATAAAAAAAATTCTGGGTATTACCGAACCAGTAAGGAGAGTGGAGAGGATTGATTCGAATTTTCGATTACCATGAAACGAATCGAGGCTGCCGAAATCATCACTCTTTTGAATCTTCTTAATCCTCTGTATCAATTGCTCCACCTCGAGAACTACGTATGTTGATCAGATGAAAATTCTGATCAGATGAAATTTTCAGAGTCAATTGTTGAGAAATGTTTTTGTGAGGGTAAAACAGAGTGCTTGCTGTCTCTGTTTTTTCTTTCTGCAATTTTTTCCTCATGATTTTGGTGGGTAATTTTGAAACAGTACGCGCACAGAGATTGCATACAGAGATGGTGCGACGAGAAGGGGAATACAATCTGCGAAATCTGTCTCCAGGTGGGCTTTCTTCCCTTGAGAACTCAATAACCCTCTGTAATTAGATCAGAAAAGAAGGGGAAAACAGAGAGAATGAGTGGTAACCAACCAAACCAAACCAAACCAACCCAACCCGACCATCAGAAGTGGGATGTCCGCCATGAAATTGATTAGTGGGTTTACTTGGATATGGAATCACCATTATGATCTAATGTTAATACTATATTAGATAGATTATCAGAAGAATTTTTCTGGTTAGTTGGAACCTTAAAACCAGTATTCATTATTTTACAAAGAAACAATAGATTAGTGCATATTGTTATTATTATTTGAATAATAATAATGGTTCCCATCCTAGTTGTTGTTCCACGTGAAGCTACGGAAGCTGTTGGAATCTTGAAATTTTTTTTGAAAATTTTGGTTGCAGAACTACGAACCTGGGTATACAGCTGCAAAAGTATCATCGTCAAAGAAAGACGATGAGTTATTAGAGGCATTGACTATCAGGTCAGTTACTTTCCTTGCCTTTTATAACGGCATTATTATTATTATTGACGAAACAGTCGAACGATTTTACACACGCTTTAAAATGTTCTACAACATAATCGAATATGTTACCGACATTAAATTTATCCGAGTGATCATCAATGTCGAATTTTTATCACCGCGGCGATAGAGAGAGCTGATTAGAGAGAGATAATTGATGAAAACATGAATTTAGAATGTATGGTGCATGGCATTTTCCATCCATTATCTTTTGGTGAATTGGAAACCAATTTATTAGGAGGAGGAATGGGACATTCCAAAAGGAAGGAAATAGGAATGGTATTTGTGGTTATGGTCCCGTCCCAATTAGGATTAGGATGGGGGAGCGTGGGAAAGGCTTTTGTTTTGGTCAATACAAAAAAAAAACTGTGGTGTTGTACAGCTAATTGCTGAACTGAAACCGGATATTTGTGAATAGAGGATAGCTTTTCTCCAAAAAAAAAAAATTTAGAGGATAGCCATTGCCACATTTTTTATGCATAATAATAATAATAATAATTCGGTTGAATTAAAAAAATAAATATACTGATGCCTGTTTTCTGAAAATAATTAAATTGACATTTGACAGAGATAGCTTGGAGATTGGGAATGAAGAAGGAATGGTGGCACAAGTGGGTGTCCGCCACATGGCGGGAGAGTATTCGGTGTGCACAACCGCCGCCGATAGAATCGTTGGTGTATGCCGTTCTTTGGTCCTAACCGTGAGTTCCCCTCTTCCGTCTCCTCATTTCCTTCCCCTCTTTTGTTTCTTTCTTAGCTCTCAATCTTTCAAGTTTGGCGAAGTTTGGTGCCAAACCAAATATAGGGTTTAAGCATAAAGTTTGGCTTCGCTTCATCTCTTTCGTTGGTTGGTTGGTTTGCTCTATGATATGTCAAACGAATTATCTAGTCATTTTAGATGGCACTTTTATCCACATTCCTTTTCCTTTCAATAATCAAGTAGTAGAATCCACACAATTACGGTTCTGATTACTCTTATCCGTTGCAGTTTACGTTCCTTCTATTGTTGAGACATTCGTTTGAGACACTTGTGACTGGAACAGAAGAAGACTATCCATTCACAATCACCACCGTAAGTACGATTTTTTTTTTGTTTGACACTTGTGAGCGTGAAATGGAGAATCTCTGATTACTTGTTAGGTTAATTTTTGTGCAGATACTCATACTAAGGGCCAGTGGGATAATCATTCCAATGTACATAATCGTTCGAACCATAGCATCCCTTCAAAAAAGCATTCGTCGACGGTATCAGGTTCGTTCGCCGATCAAATCTTACTATCATTTTTCTTTTAAGATTATGGACCCAACCAAAGCAGAACGTGGTGTACACCCAAAGCCCAATAAGATTATGGACCCAACCAAAACAGAACCGGCCCATGCAACAAAGGAAGGCACCAAACTTGACTATCTTCTTTTTTATTTTGTTGTAGGGTTGCGATGAAGCTGACCAAATAGAAGATGGAAGAGGATTTTCAGACGAGGAAGTAGTAGCAGAAGAAGAAGAGCAGCTGCACTTGGTATAGTTTTTTCAGCACAAAACATAGGCTCGCTGCATGAAGATTAAAGACTCCATTTGTACATTTTTTTTCTCTTTTTTCTTTTTCCTCCCTCCTTTCACATCATTCCTTTACTTCATTTTCTCTCTCTTGGAGAAGCTGGCAGGCAACATTTCATGCCTCTACCAATGCTTCTCCTCATGCCAACATTCTTTCCCTTCATTTTGAATAAATCCTTCCTAAGTGTTGGAGTAACTACCTTTAGAATGAATTGAGAAATAGGTCGCGAAAGAAATATAGAATACTTAAATTTACGTGAGTAACTTACATGATGTGTACTAGTTACATCTACCGACAGGAGAGAACAGTTCATTGGCTTGTTACAGAAATTGCAAACATATATTATATATATATTACCATCTCCAGACGGTCCAACCTGGAAAAAAGTTACAAACCAGGTCCAAAATAATAAAACAAACATGTATAAGCCCATTTGAAGGCATAACAATTTCACTAAACTGTCTGTCGATGACAAATGATCCGCCTTCAAGTAATAGCAAAACTATCGTATCAATAAACACGAAGTCACTCGACCGATAGGGAGAGGGACGTCAACCACCCATCAGAAGCTGATGGGCCATGCTCGAGTTCATCTAGCACAACCACCAATGAATTACCATATGACGTAACATTCACATATACTTAAAAAAAGGCAAAATTCACTTGCATAGCCATAGCTATCAACTTTGTGATAATAATAGTCAATTTCCAAGAAATACACAAAATATCCAGATTTTATAAACATGTTTGACAAATTCAGTCACTTTCGTTAAAAAATTTAACGTCGTTAGAGATTCCGCCAGCTACATTAACAATACACTGATTAGGATGCCACATTGACGTCACCTGGACGCCACATCATACTTTAATGCATAATACACATCTGTAGCCATATCTATCGACTTTGTGACAATAATAGTCAATTTCTCAGTAATACACCAAATGTTCAATTTCGTCCAAATAGTTTCTCTTTATAACTCTAACCAATATGTTAGTATTCGCACGTATTCTCACATTACATAAAACAAAAAGTACAACAATAATTCACTATAATGAAGAAAATGCATTAAAACAACACAATTTCATGAAAATATAAAATTTATATGCTAAATATAAAATATGTTAGAGACAAATAAAAATCATTTATAGACAAAATACATATGCATGTGTATAATCGGGCAGGTTCGGGTTGGATAATGGGAAAATCATGCCCACCCATTACTCGTAATATTTGGGTTTGGGGTTTACCGTACCCACTAAAGATCTTTCGAGTTCGAGTTTTACAGTATCCAATAAAATCGAATTCGAGTGCATATCCACAATTACGGATATTTTTGTTATCTCTATTCAATCGACTACGACTCTCTTTCTTGAGTCTATAAAAAATTCACTACGAGAAAAAACAATAACTTGACCTAGTGATATTTCTGATAATTTACAATCTCAAAAGCTCAATTTCGAACCCTTGAACAATGGCCCAACATTGAAAACAAACATATTTCGCTCATGTTAAAGCAACTCTCTTTGCTTCTTCTCTCTCCATACATAATTATTGTCCGAACCATCATGATGAACCCCAAGTAAAATCCTGTTTCGACTGGCGATCCGATCAAAGGAAAGAAAGAAAAGCTAATCGGTAGTTTCGCGCTAGGTTTCGGTTCCGATGGCGAATCGTCCGTCTGTGATCGTATGTTTTTCTTTTCTTTGCTCGTCGTATTTTACAGTGTTCAGATGTACTGTCTTGAAGTAATCATGTTGCAAATTCCTGTTTGTTTCTTTGGCAGAATTCACTGGAGCATCCAACAGGAAGCGATAGTGGCAACCTCATGCAGAAGTTGAATCAGCTCAGGAAGGAAATTCAAGCCGAAAGGATGGTTTCAGTGAGAGTAAGCCTTTCAATTTTGTTTCTGCTGCTGCGAATCTGTTCCCTGTTGAACGTGGAGTATAGGCTGATTATGATCCAGGGTTACTGGAGGTTTAATGCCGAGTGATTCGTTTAAATATGTAATTGAACTTCACAGGAGAAAGTTGAAAAGAACAGAAAGAAGCTAGAAATGGATTTTCCTAAACTTGAGTCAGCAACATCATCACATACAGGGCAGCCAGAAGGTGATAAGATGATCTCAAGAAGAATTGGGGAGCCAATGTGGGAATACAGTGGATTTGCTCAAGGATCAGGGGATAGGGATAATTGTAAATGTCAGGAGGTTCTCCATGGTAGAAGCACGAAGCTTCCGTATGTTGAGAAGATACCTCCGTATACTACTTGGATATTTCTAGACAGGTTCGTTGGTCTCGGCCTGCAAGCAGTAAGCACAAGTAGAATTGAGTGTATGTTTGACATACTGATGATAATGGATTATGTGGATGCTAGTTGCTGATCAGAGGATTCCTTCCTGATAGTTGATGAAACATGGGGCTTGAACTTACTTTCTCCTGTATATTTTGCTGCTTTCTCGAGGATTTTCTTCCTGCATCACATGATTCCACAAATTGTTTGATTCATGTTTCTAGGAATCAGAAAATGACTGAAGACCAGTCAGTGGTTGGGAGAAGGCGAATATACTATGAGCAAGATGGCGGCGAGGCACTAGTCTGCAGCGACAGTGAGGAAGAGATCGTGGAACCCGAGGAAGACAAACGTTGCTTCTCAGAGGCTGAAGATCGTATTATATGGTAGGTCCAGACAAATTATTCCTTGGCATGTTGACATATTGTGAAGTAATATACTTTCCAGCCTAGTGTATTATGGAATCAACTTTAAGGTCAAAGAGGATACCATGCTAGGTAGGCCATTCATGAATAGAGTGTACTTTGAACTACCAACTCTAGCCTGCCTGAAAACCCAAAGCATTGTCTTTGCTGATTTTGCATGAAGCATATATCATGTGAATAAAACCATGAAACTTGTTTTATCTTGCCAATGGTGGTGCCTAATGAATAATTCCTAACCTTTTTCTAATAATTGAAGTTCAAGAATTTCAATCACTCTGAAATTTATGCAGGAGTATCTTTCAGGAAGATGGATTAGCTGACAGTGACATCGACCTTGTTAGCCAGTTTATTGGAGCCAGTGCTATGGAGATCAGGGTATCTGCGATTAGCATGTTGACATTTATTTAGTGTAACTGCATTTAACTGTTCTATGTGTTATTTATGTTTCGTAGTACTAAACATAATTTATGGTTTAACAAAGGTTTATTTCATGTCCATCAGCCTAATTTAACTTTAGCAATTGAGATTGGCAGGAGAGATGTAGCGTTCTCCAGGAAAGGCATGCAGACGACCTAAATGTGACGAATACTGGGGATTCGGGACCTGTTAGGGGTTTCTCGTTGGAGAAGACCCTTAGTGCTGCTCTGGATTCTTTTGATAACCTCTTCTGTCGCCGTTGCCTGGTACTTGGTCCTTGATCTTTCTCAAATTTCAGTAGAATCAGCTATGAAGATGCTTTCCTTTCTTACACTCGTGTCATTATATGCCAGGTATTTGATTGCCGCCTGCATGGCTGCTCTCAAACTTTGATTAACCCTGTAAGTACTGAAATAGTAAACACTGATGATTCGAATTATTACTTATCTGCTTAAAGTGACGTGGAGGCTTCTGTTGGCAGAGTGAAAGGCACTCATATTGGTCCGAGTATGAAGATGACAGGAAACCTTGTGGTGATCAATGTTGCCTTCGGGTATGGATTTTTCCATTCTCAATGTCTTCCACAGAACTGCGAAAGAATTGTTTTCTGTTAAGCTACTGTCATGCTGAAAGTGCTCTTTAGGTAGGCATCTGAATCAGAAAAGTGCCAACAATGTCGATTAATTAAAACACGTGGATCATAGTGAAGTACTTTGCCTGGCAGCTTCTGGATGTGAAGTTACTGTCTTGTCTGTGGTCTATTACAATTTTCGTCTTTTATTTCTCCTTTTGTGCTTAAACAATTTGTGTTCTAATGTCAAACTCGGTAACTTTCAGGAAAGAGTCAAAGACTTCCCTGAGCATAGCACAGATATAGAGGTGAGAGAAAAGAGCCTAGTGGCTTTACATGCTAGACTTTCGGGCGATATTGATAGTGGTACAGAAGTAGTTGAAAGTCAAAGGTCTATGTATGACAAGGGGGTAGTAGTTCCTTCAGAAACTGCTTGTGATTCAGACCCTGAATGTCAAACTCGACATGCAGATGCATCTGATATAGTAACAGGCATAGACCACACCAAGAAGCGCAAAGCTTTGCATCAAACAGGTGCAAGAGCAGCCGGGTCAACACTAGTTCCTTCTGATGTTCATGATTCTTCATGTAAGAAGCAGAAAGGATTAGTTGCTGCAGACATAGTTTCTGAAAGTGAAGCAGGTGTTCCCAGCCTTGGTCATGACTCTAGCACCAAAAGTGCAACTGATAGGACTGCTGATAATCCAGACTGTGGATCTGCTGAATGTACATCAATAGACATCGTTCACATTGATCGCGAGAAAGATGATGAAGCTGTGCGCCTGGAAGTCACAGATGTTCTTGGGAGGAATCAGCCGTTCTCGCCAGTAAACTGCACCGGTGCTGAGATAGATGCTGCTGGAGTTAAGCACCATCAAGTTAATGATGCCCCGGAAAGTAGTCAGTCTGTGTCAAAGAGTTCTGAGTGGAGAGCCCTCGAGAAAGAACTATATTTGAAAGGAGTTGAGATATTTGGAAAAAACAGGTCAGAACATTCTTTATTTGTGTAGTCAGCAGTTTTAGCATCACAAAGACCGAGTCTTTCTCCATCATAAGGTGCAATCATCAAGCATTAGGTCAGACAGTGTGAAACCCATGCATTTTGCTTGCGATAGCTTTAGACAGAACTATGTCCTACACATGCCTTTTTTCCTGGAGAAGCCTTTCTGAAACCTGAATTAATGTTGCAATCCAAATGAATTTAAGAACCATGGCTTTTCGTCATGTTTTATTGAATACTGTTTTTCTAATCTTTGCTTTGACATTTCTGTGCTCTAGTTGCCTTATTGCAAGAAACATGCTCTCTGGTTTGAAGACTTGCATAGAGGTCTCCAAGTACATGTGCGGTAGTGGAACTATGGTGCCTAGGAGATCTCTCACACCAAGTTCATTTTCAGAAGACAATGGGATGACTGATGCAGATCATATGGTATGTTTATCGTTCAGATCTGTTGAGGGAAAAAAAGTGGATTATGTATTGTTCTTCAATACTTGAGCATGACATGCTTCCACCTCTCTATAGCATTATTATATTCATTGTCTAATCTTGAAATTATTCTAATGATGCGTTTCTGGAGGAAAATCGGACGAAAAACATGACAAATAAGCTCTCTTTTCTAAGGCTTTGGGTTCATTCTAGACGTTTCTTTTTGTTTTTTAAACCTATTTTCATATTTCCTATTTCTTCTTTTCCTTTGTTCTTGGAGCAGGAGATGCCAGCACGACCTCGCCTTTTGCGTCGCAGGGGCAGGACACGAAAGTTCAAATATTCTTGGAAGTCTGCTGGTCATCCATCAATGTGGAAACGAATGGCTGATGGGAAAAACCAGTCATGCAAGCAGTATACACCATGTGGGTGTCAGTCAATGTGTGGGAAACTATGTCCATGTTTGGAAAATGGAACTTGTTGTGAGAAATACTGCGGGTAAGCTGAGTGTCTTTCTAATCCAGCTACTGCCAAATTTACATTAGCATTATGTCAGACAATGAGTAATTTGAGGTTTATTTGTTATTCTACCTCATCCCAAATCCCTAATTCTCATACCAATCACGATCACCAATCGCACACCTAGATCCGTGCTCTTTCACATTATTTAGTGAATGAGAAAAATTGTTTAAAATAATTGTTGTTCATTGTGAATTCTTCTCAGGTGCTCAAAGAGTTGCAAAAATAGGTTCAGAGGATGTCATTGTGCAAAGAGTCAGTGTAGGAGTCGCCAATGCCCGTGCTTTGCAGCAGGGCGTGAATGTGACCCTGATGTCTGCCGCAATTGCTGGGTTAGGTAGTCAGTTCTAAATCCGCTTAATTTTGTCAATCTCACAAATATATAATCTGCCTCTATCTAGTTATATACTGAACCGGTTCACTGTGCAGCATGAAATTTGATAATCAATCATGTAGATTAGATTGTCTGCTGATGCACACTGGTTGAAAGCTATTGTAGCATGGTGGCAGTCAAAAGCTTTTGCACTGCTGATGCTGGAAACTCTGAATTCTTTTATTGGCCACTAGTAACTGAAGGATGAAGGGCAGAGAATCTTTAGAAAATCTTTTGTAGCTTTTGTTTAAAAGGTTCTGCTTTTACTTCTTAATGCAGTTGTGGAGATGGTTCATTGGGAGAGCCACTGAAACGTGGAGATGGTCAGTGTGGAAACATGAGGCTGCTTCTACACCAACAACAGAGGGTAAGGCAGTTCCTGTATCACCTCAATTTCCTGATCACCTTTCGTTGTACTAAAAATTCATGAACTCTGTCTCAGATCATGTTGGCAAAATCGGACGTTGCTGGATGGGGAGCCTTTCTAAAGGTACATTTTTCAAAAGGTTCACTACCCTTCATCCTATGTTAAACGGTTCTGCTTGGTTAATTCATTGAATGTGTTTCAGAATGCTGTCAATAGAAATGACTACCTCGGAGAGTACACTGGTGAACTGATATCACATCGAGAAGCAGACAAGCGTGGGAAAATCTATGATCGTGCCAACTCGTCGTTCCTTTTTGACTTGAATGATCAGGTAAGTCCCCCAAACCTTCTCTTCCCTTGCATTGTCTTTCCCACTCCCTCGAGCTTCATTGGACCAATTGCAGCATTGAAATATCTCTTCTCCGCAGTTTGTCCTAGATGCATACCGCAAAGGCGACAAGCTGAAGTTTGCAAACCACTCATCAAATCCCAATTGCTATGCTAAGGTAAAAAAGAGAGGAACCTTCCGTTAATGCATCGCTCAGCTGTAACAAAATAGCAACTTCTTTTGTATTGATCCATCCAATTTTGTACTCACTGTTCACAGGTAATGCTGGTGGCTGGAGATCACCGAGTCGGCATCTTTGCCAAAGAGCACATTGATGCGCGCGAGGAGCTGTTCTACGATTATCGCTACGGACCTGATCAGGCGCCGGCTTGGGCTCGTAAACCAGAACGTGATTATCCAAATCCAGCTGGGATCCAGGGTGGCAGAGCAAAGAAGCACCATTCTAGTAGTTGATTTCATCATCGCATTATATGCTGCCCATGCTAAATGCCATCCATTCTAGCAGGCGAAGCCATGAAATAAAGAGAGACGCATGAATAAATAAATGTCCATATAAGCCACCAGCCATTGCCATCAGCTTCTCGCTGCATTGCGTACGAATCGCATCAGTCGAAGACCCATTACTTACTGATACATACTTCGATGGGAAATTATGATTTGGTATTGGATTGTAAGGTATGCTACAACTCAGTTCCCCAGGAAGACACCAATGGCCACAATCATGAACCTTTGAACTATGCCGATTCTCGTGTCTGTTCCCATACAAGGAAGGATGGCCATTGGAGTTTTCAGGTTCTTAATGATCTATTCCATGACCCAGGTCTTCTCGGTATCGCTGATGTCTGATGCCCACAGCCTTCTTATAAGGCAGTTTGGCTTCCAAGCAATGCCCTCCTGAATCCCACTGCCCTTCCCTGTTTGGCTGTTCTACTTCAGCTGAAATCAGCCCATATCCATTTACAGGTGATTGGCAACATGGAAGAGATTGGATAAGGGGGCAACAGTGTTGTTAGGGTATAGTCTTTCATCAATACGTTTTTTTAGCAATGGAATCGCATATATTGCACTGATGAAAAATCGGCTACAACAAGGGATACAGACATGAGATTTGGAATCAAGAGAGACAATCTCATCATCTAGAGTAAGCACACAATGTCGATGAAACGAAAGAAAACAAAGCATGAATGAACCAAACAAGGAGAAAACAAATCTCGAGTCAAATTACAGAGCATCCTAAACGCTCTTAGCAACCTCATTCGTCGGAGTGGCACCAAGCACAACTTTAGCTCGTCTAGTACAGTCTTGACCATGGAAAGTGACTTAAAGCATTCCATATGTCACACTATGTGAGTTGCTCAAAAACGATTCATCATAGTGAATCACCAACTAGGGATTATGCGATGGTGGAACAAGACTGTTACAAACTGCTCACAACTAATAAAACCAAGCAAGGAAATAGAAAGTCATAATTAGTTAAATTTTTCATTTAACTAGGCCGGCCATTTTTAATAAGTGTAAATTTTAATAAAAAGGGAAAACAATAGTCATTTTGATTATTGTGTCTAAGCTAACAATAAAAGAAATTAACAAATGGGAGAAGAAAGTCAAAATTTAAAAAATATTGTATATTTTTTATTTTCTTGATCTAGTTCCCAGTCTTCGGAATCTGGTCGTCACGGCTGGAATTTGGTCACTGATCACCAAAATATATGTCTTCAAAGTCCAGCCATTGATTGTCCATGAGGAAAGCATATCACAAATTGCATACAACAGACACAAATCCGGTGATCGGAGTTGGAACTCCAGTCACCGAATATGTGGTCCGTGTTATGTAATTTGTAGTTTGCTTTTTTTCTGTATAGTTATCCAAAAATCCAACAGAATATGGAAGCTCATTTGAGCATGGGTTTGGTGGACACCCAATTTATTTCAAATTTGTGTGTATCCCATTTTTAGAAGAAAGGGTTGGGGTTGGCACGTAAAATAGCTACACTTGTACGAAGGCCCAAACAGAAGCCATTTTCTTTCAGCCCGGTCCAAGAGCGAATATCAGCAGAAGGTTTCGCGAGTTCCACTCACTGCACCAATTGGCCCTCCGCAGCAAATAAGAGAAAAGTGAAAATCAAGAAGAGAGAAATCGAAAGGCTAGAAACTAGAGAAGAGAGAGCGCTCTTCCCCTTCGTACTTGCGCTGTAGCTGGTCGTCGTCGCCTTTCTCCAGGTAAATCCTTCGACATCTCGATTCGCTTCGATATTGAGAATCATCGTTCTTCTTCCGTTTACGTTTTTTCCTTCACTTCTCGATCTGCTCCGGTTTTGGATTTCTATTGGTAGTTTCGATCGATCGATCGATTTGTTTGTAGGAAAGAATTCGAAATCGATGCTAATATTAGATAATCGTGGTCGCCATTTTTTATACGAGTTTTCTGTGGTTCGCTAGCGACGGGGATACGCGAGTAGAGAACGACCTGCTAGGAACCTTGGCTGTTGGCTTAGGTCTTCTGCCCTTCGCCTGTGTTCCCGGATCTTGGTGGGAAGCTCCCTTTCTTCTCTTGCAGTTATTAATGGTGACGGGTTTCGCTTATTTACTTCTGGGCAGTTTCAGGACTGGAGAATTTTTTTTCCCCTTTTGGATTGGAGAAGGAAAAGGGTGTGTGGAAAGAAGGGTTTCATGATAATTGTTGCATCTATGTGGTGCATTAAGTTGCGAGGTTGTCGTTTGTGCTTTGGCTTGTACGTTCTGTGTGTTAATTTCATCATTTAAATTGATTTTGTAAGTTCAGTTGATAGGTAGAAAGCTTGCACTTGCTATGCATTGTGCTTTTACTTGTACCTTTGTTATGGGAATTCCATGAGCCGGATTGATAAAGGTAGTTTAATGAGTGTTTTTCTTGTTTAGATGGATTGGTAGATTCATTTGTTAGAACGCTTAATTTTCTATGTGGTGTGTGCTGGTCGCTGGCTAAGAAAGCAACTGTTGATTGTTGCAGAGAAAGCAATTAAAGTAAACTTTAGGTGAATTCTACTGGATGTGAAGCATTCTTTGTATGCGTAAAGTCATGAGGCCATCAATGTTTGATTGTGCTTTGCTGTTTGTATATGAAGCCTGATTAGTTGGATTGATCAAGCCTCATTTCTCAGGTAGATTAGATAGGTAGAAAGCTCGGATTCGTTATTGTTGCTCTCATCTACTGTCTGTGTAGGATTTCCATTTAGCTGGTCTGATAAGCTCAATCGATGGGCAGCAAGCTTCAGTTTTTTATACTATCTGAACTTGTATTGTTGTTTATGTAATAATTTCGTTAGTTAGATTGTTAAATTACATATGATAGGTAGATTGGATAAGGTAGGTAGAAAAGTTGGAATTTCTTTTTGTGACTAGTGGCTGACAAAGCAAGGGGGATATGTTGACTGTTTGCAGAGAAAAATAGCAAAATGGCTGGCAGGATTCCACACCCCACACTGAAGGGACCGAGCGTCGTGAAGGAGATAGTCATCGGGATGGCGCTCGGCTTGGTCGCGGGTGGCTTTTGGAAGATGCATCACTGGAACGAGCAGAGGAAAGTAAGGGCATTCTACGACATGCTTGAGAAGGGCGAAATCAGTGTCGTCGCCGAAGAATAGGAGTCATCCGTGATGGCTCAATTTGTCTGTTGGTTTTGCTAAGAAGTGCTGATTGTTAGCGTTCACCGTTTTTCCGATTCCTATGCCTCCGTAGGGTTGAGGAGAGCAACCTTGCCTCAAAGATACGGAAATAAAGTGTTTGCCGTTTTGTGATACAATGTGGGTTCATTATCGTTTACTAGTTCAACCTGTATTTACTTCATCTGGGTTGGATTGAATCGTGGATTGTTGAAATGAATAGACTTTAAGAGCATTGTGTGAATGCTCGAATTTGGAGCACGAATTGTTTCCAACTGAGTTCTCTCTATTCATTAACAATGCAGGATCTACAAACAATTAGCATCTTAATAAAGAAACGACGATTCATGAAGACAAAGAAGAGGGAGAATTGGGATTATTTTTGTCCATTATCAAATGTGTATGCAGGCTTTGCCGTATGTTAATAACGGTACACAAGTACTTGTAATACACAACAAAGCATGAACAAGACGGACATGTAGAAATATTGAAACTAGATGGGATAGCTGGTGCGGTATGACTTTTCGACCTTCATGCGATCACTGCTTTTTTTCTAGGCAAGTCACTGGAAACTGGCGATTTGGAGGAGCTTGCCTCCGCCATGCTAAAGACCACCAACACGTTCAGTGTACGAAGCTTGGTTCAGTCCCGGTCCTTTGCAGCTGAAGTCTGGAATTTTGATTCGAACATGTCAGTCTATAAGGACTGATATCAAGCAAAAGAAACGGAAGGTGCAATCAAAGATATTGTAACAGGCCAGTTTTCATTTGGCTTTCTAATAAGGATTCATAGGGGTTATTCCTATGCCCAAACTGATTTTGAAAATGGTCTCATTCATGTTTCAGTTGAGTAGATAGAACGCGAAGCAAATATACTATGAACAAGAGCTTCGGCCTCGGTCTTCTTGATGTTAGAAGGTGAAAGGTGATAGTATTCATTTACCATAATGATGATCTTCGTACGGAATGATGATCAGGATCATGCTCGTCATCTGCCTGCTCTGGGTTTCCACCCCCACTGCCCGCTGCAACTTTACTCTCACTGGTTTCTTGACTTGGATTGTCTTTGCATGCATCGAGCTCTGCATTTATATCAGAGGTGTTTGGGACACAGTACTTGTGCAGCCATCTGTCTGTTTCCCAAAGGACGTGCATTATGCTCTCTCTCGCAGAATACCCATGACTCTCGAACGGAAGAATGACCAAGCGACACAGCGCACCGTGACCTTTTAGAGCATTGAAGAATCGATCCGACTACATCACCGCCCAATACCCAAATCGAAATGATAAACCCCATTAGTAACTGAAACTTGTAATAAGTCCTCACAGTATATGAACTCTAAGGGACAGCAATAATAACAACACAGAATACCTGCATGGTTAGGGTTCCTGAGTTGTTGTCTTCTTCCCCGTGGACAAGCAATATTGGCTTCTTAATTTTGTTGGCTGACATGAAAGGACTCATCTCGACATAGGTACTCGTAGCCTCCCAAAGAGTTCTATCCTCATTCTTTGCATTCAAAAAGGAAAGAGAGGGTGGAATCAGCCAGGACAAAGATATTGTACCGTCAGAATGTATGTGCCTTCGTAAAATCATCTTTCCGTTTTGTATTTACTATGAATGCTAACTATCTATCTATTGTGCTAACCTGAAAACCGAAAGGTGTAAGTGTTCTGTTATAAGCTCCTGAACGAGCAATTCCACAGCAGAAAAGATGAGGGGCATGCGCCAACAGGTTTGCAGTCATGAAGGCACCATAGCTATGTCCACCAACCGCAATTTTGCTGGGATGAGCAACCTTTTTGACAGCACAAAAGTAATTGCCCGTCAGATTTAATTTGCTGCTTTTAATATGCAATGCATGTTCGTAATTCGACAGAATTGAACAAGCTTACACCACGTCGGATGACTTCCTCAACAGCTGCCTCAGCACTTGCAACTAATTGTTCTACATAGCTGTCAACAAAGTTGTTTTATATCAAAATCGCATGGCAGAATGCAAATGCTACTCTTAACCTCCACCATGCAAGAAGAAAAGTGCCCCTTTCTGTTCACTTTATAAACTGACAAAATTATTTGAAGAAAAGAAATGGCATCCTTCTCCGTCAATTGTGAGAACATAATCCAGAAAAGGGAAACTGAAGTTGATGTGTTAATACAATATCATGTAAATTTGAATGAATGAAACAAGCACTGACAAAGATGCACTTGAAAAATGCAAATAGGCACCACCTGTCATTAGCCTCCACGTCGCCCTCCCCAATAATAGGAATTGTTGGTCCAGATAAAATGGCAAACCTGCAGAATACAGACCAGACAGTACAGATATAAACCTTCTCCTAAAAGTCAATACTTAGGAAGTACAACAAGGAACAAAAGATTAAGCTTACTGTTACCTCCTAGCTAGCCAAAGAAGAGCTGATGTAGACCCTATGCCTGGAAATTCATTAGGAGAACCACGAACCTGTCCTGCAGCTTCTTTGCTCTTAAATTCCCCAGGATAAGACCATACCAAACAAGGAAGTGGGCCGTCTTTGGAGGGATCATAGCCAGGTGGCAAGTACAATGTTGCGGTCAGTTGAACTCCATCTTTTCTCTGATACCTAATCATCTCCTTCTGCAGGGACGCCAACTGTGGGTATGGGTGAGGGAAAGCTGTAATCTGAAATGCTTTCTTTTCTGGCCACTTCTGGATATAATACTGGGTGTTCTCCGTTTTCGACTCCTTGGATGTCAAAACCTTTAACTGATCTAGGTGGAGGTCCCCTTCATTGTCATCGGACATTAATGCAACAACAGTCTCAAAATACTTTTCCTTGTCACTTTGCCAAATACGTTCTTTGCTGCCGGTATTTCTGAAATAATTTGGTTCCAAAAATTAACATTTTCATACTTATGCCAGAGCACGTACGGTAAAGGTAATCGCACGATACTCACATGTCAAAAAGATCAAGGAATGGAATATTCCCTTCAGGCGTGGCACCACTTCCATTCAGCAGAAGATATGTGCCTTCATCATTTTGTTTCTTTATCCTTGCAATCACATACGTACCAGCACTTGTTCTCCTCAGCATGGGAGAACCAGGATCAGAGTACACATCCTCTGATGACCTGTCAAATAATATGCGTGGAGTAGCATCTTTAGATCCAGGAGATACTACCCAGGTTCTTATCCGCCTTGTCTTGTACCATGATTCATAAACCAAGGCTAGTGAGTCATCACACCAAGAAATTCCGCTGTCGAGAAGGAAACAAAAGATTAAAAGAACACTCAACTTTAGTTTCAAATGCACGCTATTTGAAACAACGCAAACTATCACCACTACATCATACAGGATTCCAGACCCGTGTCTAAACAATTCAGAGAAGGTAATCAAGCTTACATGCTTTCAAAACTATTCAAAGAGTTCATACCCATAGCGAAAATCAAGCTTGTGCAGGATTTCTGGTTCTTCACCTTCTACCGGATCAGCAGGTTGACTATAGATGATATCCCGAGGAGATACTTCTACTTTCGCATCACCCCCATCCTGTGTCTCTGCCCTAAAGAAAACATAGTGAAACACAAGAAAACAACAATATACAGCGACGCCTCTATACGATACATCTTCTAATTGTCATCCACTGAGAGTTGAGGGCAAATTTCAATGACATACCAATAGATAGTTGCAGGCTTATCTGATCTCCAATTGATTGAGCGCATTCCTTTGCGAACACTATTGAAGGCAATCGGAATGTCTTCCGCAAGGGGCAAATCACAAAGCTCTCTCACGAATTTCCCATCAATTGTCCACACTTCTACCTTTTTTGGAAATCTCCCACATGGCACAATATAGGAATATGGCCTGTGAATAGAACTGATCATAAGATACTTCTCATCAGGTGAAGGATCCATTGATGTATACACAGCTGGTGTGCCAATTTCCTTCACAGTACCATCCAGAGAAGCTAGAACAAGCTGTGAGGTGGCATAGTAGTCAAACAGATCTTCATCATATTCATCCTTCAGCAAATCCTGGAAGGTTCTTACTTGGATAATGTCCTTAGTCTCATTAGACTGAATTTTCGGGCCAGATGGGACCAAAGGTTTCTTGGGTGGTGCCCCACGAGACTTTGGGATGGTGCAAACAAGCAAAGTTGAGTCATCCACCCACACAAAATTATCAAAAACAGCATTTAGATAAATATCAGGCGACTGAAACAGTGGTCGAGCTAGCCCAGTTTCCACATTAGCAACCCATACAGTCAGCTTACTGCTGTTGTTATCCTCCTCCTCCTCCTCACCAAGGCGGATGCTGAAACACAAATGTCTACCATCCAGGGACCAAGTAACAAAATTGATTTTGGCCCCCTCTGGCAGCCCACAAACCTCCCTCTCTGGCCCTAGACTACCATCTGGCATCAACTGATGAATGCCAATTCCAGTGTAGAACGACATCCTGCTCCTAGAGTTGCACTTGCCATCTATACGCATACCAGCCAGCTTTTCCTCCGGTTTAGCTAGTTCTGACAGCGGAGGCAGAGCCCTCCGCTTCAGAAACAGAATTTTGTCCCTCTGAGGTGAAAACGACAATGCAGGGAGGGGTGGCGCATCAACGATGTCTCTTATCGCGGGTGGAGGAATTTGATACTTTCCCTCTGTCGCTTCTACGAATTAAAGAAAATGGGGTACAGAAACAGGGTTAAAGAAGAAACTAAAACAATTCAGCATACAAGCTTCAGTGAGTTCAGAGATTGGGCATTCCAAATGCAATCAAATTAGAGAAATCAATCTATCCTTAAACTTCCCTACAAGTGGTAAAGAGCTCAGAGATTCATCAGCCATTTTGACAGGGTGTTTCACAGAGGCAAAGGGATCAAAGAAGTTAGCACAGTCAATCAACCAGAGAAATTGATGCTTCAACTTCTCTAGAGGTTTCAAGAGCTCAGCGAGCTATTCACAAAGGCAAAGTAAACGAAGCAGTCACCGCAACCAATCAAACCAGAGAAAATCCGCTGAAGAGCTCAGAGATTCGGCAGCCATTCTGGTAGAGTTACTTGAGTGAGGAAAGAAATTAGCAGACCTAGAAGCATGCTCAACTACTCGACATACAGAGACGAAAGAATCCAACAGTAATCCAACGAGACTCAATCAATTTCAGAAGAAGACCATCCGCAGACCTTCGTAATAGTCGGCGACATCGGTGGAAGAAGCAGCGGTGCCGGCGACACTGGATATGCCGCCAACGTCTTCTGCTGCTGCGTTGACCGGGGCGAGGTTTCGCAGCCTAGAACGGGCGGAAGACATGATTGAGCGCCGCCGGCGGGCAGAGCTTGGGAGTTGAGTTCTCAGGTGACCGGAGGCAAATTGGCGGAGATTGATTTCAAGAGCAGCGGGGAGAGCAGGAGGGGGCGGTGAAGGGAGAAGGGAGACAGAGAGGCGATGATAAACTTTGTGAAAGCGCATCATCATCTTCGTCTTTTTACCTCTCTCGATATTCCTTCGCCACTTTCTAGTGTTGAGGTGTCGCAATGGTGTCGCAATTGTTTAGAGGAAAAAATGCTTACAAAAGCCTCTCTATCCGATGAGAAGGCCATACGTAGACATACCAATGCCATACAAGTGGATGGACACTCCCAAATTCTTTAGTGCAAGTACCACACTTGGAAATACAATTTTCTTGTATATTAGTGTATTCCTAATCTAATTAGTACAAGGTGTTTTGATGAGTATATTCAAAAATAAATCTATTTGGGTTAAGATCAAAGTGGACAATATCTTACTAATGCATTTACCGGTCTCAGCAATAGGTATTAGAGCCTGGTTTGGCGTTCAGATATCGGGTGGTGGACGATAGTTGGGTGGGACTCTTATTCGGTGACCTCGGAATGTGGTAAAACCGTTCGAGTTTGGCCCAAAGTGGACAACATTGTACTAATGTAGCTACCCGACCTCAACAGCTGGTATAAGAGCCTAGTTTGGCATTCGGATCCTGGACGATAAACATCAGTTGGCAAATGTTACTGACGAAAACGTCGCCATGTTAGCGTTTTTGTTAGTCCAGTCAGTTTGTTAGATGACACCGTTACGAAATTGGACGAAAGTGGCTATATGTGGTATTTCTCCAAATTTGGCTATTATTGGCACTAATGCGAAGGCTATACAAGTGTATTTTGCCTATTTTTTATGGGTAAACAATATGTAAATGGTTGTGGTGTGATTGATAAGAGTTGTGGTCTACTTTTAAAAAATTTTGGTTTGCTTTATAATGCTTGTGGCATGTTTTAGGGGACTTGTGGTCTGTTTTAAGAACTTGTGATGTCATTTTATAGATTGTTTATATACTTCACGGGACTCGAGGTCGCTTTATGAAACTTGTAGTGTGCTTTAATAAATTTGTGGTATGCTTTGATAAACTTGCAGTATGTTTTATGAAATTTCTAGTTTATTTAAGGTGACTTGTGATGTGTTTTAAGAAACTTTGTGATATGTTTTATAAGCCTCCTGGTATTTGTGGTGTTGTTTATAAATGTTATGGTGCACTGAGTTTCTGGTATGCTTTATAAACTTTCTTTTTTTGTTGAATCTTTATAAACTTTCTGATATGCTTTATGAGTTTTTTTTTTTGCGTGGTGTGATGAGATTGTAGTATTCTTTTTTAAATTTTATGTTTTATGGTGTGTGGTCCCCTCAATTATTGCACTCGTCCTCAATTAATGCAAATACACATGTATGTCTTCCCTCTTTCGCATTGTCTAACCGAGACTTGAAGGCTGATTCGGGTGTAATTGCACATATTTGTGCCCCCTTTATCTTGAGATGTTTGTGGCATTTGCATCGTTCGACGAGCAATTTTACGCTAGGTTTGTACGTGTTTTAGCATGTTTCAGATCTTAGCAAGTGGAATTTTCTCATGATTGAAGTCAAACGAAAGAGCGCAAAAATGGAGTTAGGATGAACAAAAGGCAAAGATCACGCTCTGGGGAAGGTTATCACGATTAGCAGACAGTGAAGATGGAGCTGGGGTTGTGCCTTTAGACAACTTTTGGGGGACTTCAGATGACTCGCGGGCAAGTCAATTATCACAGTCACCCGACCTTGACATCTTCCAGCAACCCGTGATGTCATTAGTAAAACAAAGTGTTTTGCACCGAGATCACGGTCAGGCGTTTGACATCATGGGCGTGATATATGACTGTGAAACGAGCCCGACCGGAGTATATAAAGGAGAGAGAGCTTAAACCTAAAGAGAGAATTCTAGAGAGAGACTTGGGTTTTCTTCTTTAAGATAAAGAGAGAAAGTGGCGAGCTAAGAAGAGGAAGAAGAAGGATTGGACTTACCTAAGGCAAGAGGGTTGAAGATTTATTCTCCAGATGGTGAATCAAGCAACTAGAAGGAAGGAAAATCATCTCTCCATGGGTTTTTCTTCCATCTTTGTTGTATTTTCCTTCCTACCTATGGAGTAGTCTCTCATTTCACTTGAATATTGGTAATCCTAGTCTAGGATGTGTTAGATTGTAAGATTTGAACTTTATGTATGTGTTGGGTTAGTGATTAATATAATGTTTGAGATATTTTTCATGAATCTTGGGTGTTGTTTATCATATCTCAATGTTTGGTCAATTTTACCTAGAAGGAGGAAATCCCGTCATAGCCCACATCTTGGCAATTTGGGTAACCCCTTCTAGGACAATTAATGACAACCTCAACCATCTGATTAGTGCCATGATTTCATCTTGATTGATTGCTTTTTGTCATTCTGGATTAACTTCCGAGGAATTGGTTTTCGCAATCCTTAGTTGATCGAATAAGAGAGCTAGGTTTTCTAGCTTATCATGATAATTCGTAGTTGATCGATTGAGAGAGTTGAGTTTCCCAACTAATTGCGTCCTCCTCGCAATATATTAACACTCTTCACACTAGAGTTTCCTTGATTGCATATTAACACCAGAGTAGGGGGGACAATAACCGGGTGAAGCTTTCTCAAATGGAATGCACCGCAATTTACTTTGCTTGTTTGTTCAATTGTAGTTTCCTTAGCTTTCACACCAAACTTTTTCCTAGATAATATATAACCGATTGAAGTAGGGGTACATAGACTGCCTCAGGATGATAAAAAAATATTTGCCCTATCCTACACCCTACTATATGTTGCGCTTGGCCTATAGTTGGGAATTGTGTAGTTAGGTCCGAGTCACAGGCACTTAATCACAACAAAGTGGCATATGCATTGTTTATTCATAGGTAATTACGCCTAAGCGTATGCAAAATTACGCTATTATGAACTCTGATAAATACACCGTATTTCATCACATCCACTTAAATCACTTCCAAAATTTTCTCTCCATCTCATGAAAAAAATCATCTTCTTCCCATAAAATAAAAAAATTCGTTTCTTTCCAATCTCTTGATTTTTGTGTTTTTGCAAGAGGTTATATTTAATTATGAAAAATATGTTCAAATTTTTGGACAGTTATACAAAAAAATTATCTTAATTCATAATGAACAAATTATTTAAACAAAATAATAAAATACACACTACACTAAAGTGAAACTAAACGTTAAATATACTTGGAGACTTTGATATTTTGGTTTTCCCATAAAGCAAAATGTCATTAGGTAGTAAAATTTGGTAGTTTAACGCTAACCACTCAAATCATCTACAAAAGATTCTCCGCTTTATACCAACTTTTCTTATTTTGATAAAATTCAGAGATTTTTTTTCTTTATTAATAAAACGGACGAGAAAAACAAAATGAATACGCCACTTTGGCGGGAAAACAACAAATTAGCAAGGGATGAAGAGGCGGACATTTCCTTACAAAAATATCACGACGTTTTCTCCAAAATAATATCTCGTCCTCCCCCTTACGTGGCGGCCACCCATTGGCTACGGAGATGATAAGAAACGAGCGTCACAAATTCATCCCACTTTCCGATTATATGTAAAGCCGATTCCTCGTCACCGCCTCAAACAACCATATCCTCCCGCAAAGCGAGCAAGTAAAAAAAAAAGAAAACCGATTCGCGAGAGAGAACCATCCGAATCCTCTTGAAAGAATGGCAGCCATGGCAGCAGGTCTCAGCACCATCTCAACCGCCCCAGCGAGCTGGAAGGTGATGGCGGAATCCCCTAGGTCACAGCCGCAGGCGTTCCTGTCGATGAAGCAGCATCTGGCGGTGGGGGCGACGACGAAGAAGGGAGGAAGATTGGGAGGGTTCCGGCCGGTGATGGCGGCGCCGGATCAGATCCAGAGCAAGGTGGAGGAGAGCATCAAGGGGGCGGAGGAGACGTGCGCGGAGGATCCGGCGAGCGGGGAGTGCGTGGCGGCGTGGGACGAGGTGGAGGAGCTGAGCGCCGCCGCGAGCCACGCCCGGGACAAGGCGAAGTCGTCCGACCCGCTCGAGGCCTACTGCAAGGACAACCCGGAGACCGACGAGTGCCGCACCTACGACAATTAATTGACCGAGCTCTGTGTGCTTTGTATGGAAGGGAAAGGGTTGCTCTTGTTGTTAATCTGAGAATACAGAATACTCTTTTTAAGTACTGTGATAAAAACAGCATCAGATGTTTAAAATTAGGGATGTGGGGATTCAGTATATGGGTTGTTGGAAAATTGAAGTGTGGTTCCCGCTCTGTGATAATTAATTGATATATGTTGCTGGTGATGATGAACTGGTTGTAGCTGATGATGGTTGCCGTATGCAGTTTGTTCTTACTACAGCTGATATGTATATATTTCTTGAATAGGAGACGCAGAAGCTGCATATATGATAGAAACTATGTTCAGTTTTTGATGGTTTTTACTGATTTCTGTTGGATATTTCGCCGTTGGAAGATATGTAGGGTGTTTCAGATTAGTCTTTGGTGCTCTGGTTCGCTTTGTGGGGTTTGTGGTAGCTATTAGCTAATGCTATCTAGTATCTTGGTATTCAAGGGCATGCGTGTTCTATACTCGGTTTTATCTTTGTTTGGCGAATTTGTCTATCTCTGTTTTTTTTTTAGAAAGACCGTATCCTAAAGCGTCATAATTATAATTGCTAATAAACCGAGTTTGGGCAATGCGCATTACATCATGAGCGATCAGTTTGGTGAGGCAAGGATCGCTCACATTGAAGTTATGTGTGCCAAAATCAATACCATGGCTCTTACTCACAAGGTAAAATTACATTCTCTATGCACATGAGAGATGCAAACCCTCCAATTGCGTTCCAAAAGAACTCGGCCTTGTTGTGTGAGTAAGCCATGTATATGGCTGTCATCCTTGCAATTTTACATTCAATAGCACTTGTTGAGTTGATTTTGAGCTTAACACTTTTATGTCCTCTTTCCCAAGCCAAACGCAATGCCCTCCATCACTCCTTTCAGTTCGGCCGCCGTGATTGAGCAGTCCCCATGATTGCAGACCTAATAGGTTTCCAATTCTTTTTCTTGACGGCAGTGAAAATACAATGGCTAAGCCTTTTCACACAAAGTGTAAAGAGACATGATGATATAGGACATCCTTGACGCAGCCCCTGCTAGTTGTGAATCTCTCTATTTTCCCTCTATTCCACAACAATTGCATCTCAATGGTTGTGACACACTGCATAATGAGTCTGATACAATTATGAGGAATCAAAGCAAGGCTGACTGGCTGAGTGTCTCCTCAAGGAAGTTCCAGTCGATCCGATCGTATCCCTTTGCAAGATTGATCTTAAGAAGCATAAGACCTTTCCTTCCTTTCTTCTTTGCCGTCGGATGGATTGTTGAATATAATGATTGTTTGATTTTAAGCTCTACCACGGTGGTATGATGCGTTAAAAGATGGTACGTAATACATATGTTGTATTTCATGTGTAAAGTGTTTGAATGTGTTGATGATACCTGAGTGGTTTGTACGTTGTGATGAGATTTTTTAATAGAGCTATGGTAGAATTTCATTGCTTCCCATTATGGTTTATTGTGATAAATAATTTGTACTGAATGTTTCTGGTATGCTTTTGAATATAATGATGATGAGATGTTAACCTCTACCATGATGACATCTTGTGGTAAAGTATGGTAAGTAATACATATGTCGTATTTCATGTATGAAGTGTTTGAATGTGTTGGCGCCATCATAGTGGTATGTTGTGGTAGAATATTTTTAAATATAATTATGCTAGGATTCCATTGCTTACCATGGTGGCGTGCAATGGTAAAATGATGTTTTATAGAATGTTTGTGGTATGATGTTAAATACCATGATAGGATTTTAACCTCTGGTTATATGATGTGGTAAAAGATGGTAGAGTTTTTATGGTTGTAACATGATGGTATGTTTGTCAGCCATTTTTGCAATGTTTCTATGTTGCTGGACGCCATGCTATAGGAGTCTAACGATGTTGATGTTTGAAAGGGTGTAGAGTTTCATTGGGGTCGTTTGCTTGTTGGATTTGGGTCATTGATTTGGTACCCAAATTCCAAACTTGATGGATTTAACATAAGTCCATTGTTTGTTGAAGGGTGCTAAATCCGTGGGGTCCACGGATTTGGTCTTTATTTTGGAACAAAATCCGTGGACCCCACGGACTTGTAAATCCCACATATTGATTTGGGATTTGCAAATCCTTGATGGTTAGTTATTTATTTAACAAATCCATCACAAATCCATCATCAAATCTATCATGCAAACATTAGACTCTTCAAATCCATAATCCAATAAATCCAACATAAATCCCAAGGTTTTTGTTGGCCAAAACCCTCATTTTTCAAATCCAACAAGCAAATGACACCTAAATTGTGATGCCTACAACTTTTACATGGATGAAAACCATCAAGACTTCACACTGAGAATAGTGTGACAGACTAAATATAAGAAGCTCAATGATTATTCAACAACAATATTTTTAGGATGATCAAGAAGATAGAGATTGATGAAGAGAATATTGCGAGTATTTTCTGAAAGGATGAGAGATGAATTATTATTATTTCGATGATTAAATAAGTTTTGTTACAACCTATAGAACTAACAAAGAGTTTCCCCGCTAGGGTTTTTTTTTTATAGTTATGACTTATGATGGTATTAGCTCGTTGTATGTTGTTGGCTCCAATTTTCCTTGCAAGTCTTTACCAGAATTGTAAAGTTAGCATTTTTGTGTTATTTTTTTGGGTTAAATGCTATGATTTGCCCTTGTTATTTGTGTTTTGCAGTTTTTTGTTTTGTTTCAACCACCGTAGCCAACTTATTATTTTTTTAGGCTACTCTTCTCTATGATGAGACGTCAACAACCTGTGAATGGTTGTTCAACACATTTCTGTGATGCATGAGAAGTAAGAGACCTACATCCATGTTTAGTGACCAAGTTGTTGTTGCTATTGCAGCTAGTGTAATGTGAGAACTTTTCAAATTGTTTCCATCACATGACATATGTACCTACCATGTTTCTTGTGTGATTCGACTTTTCTTTGTGAGCTTAGGTATTTGATGATGATGATGCTAATTTTGAATACAATTGAAAGAAGATGATGGAAAACTGATTTCCTGAAAAGTGGCTCTACGGCACATAGTTGGTTAGAGGGTATCTACAATGTTAGGCATAAGCAATCATCGGCGTGGGTGAGAAATCTGTTTGGTGCAAGTATGACAAACATGCAATTAAACAAGTCTTCAACAACAACATTAGACATTTATAGTCAAATGTTAGCATTAGCAGGTTCTTCAAGAATTTTGAGAGAATGGTGGAGAATGAAAGAGATGAAAAAGAGTTACAAGAGTTTTGTGCATGCAACAGGTTGTCTAGTCCTCGTTTCTTGTATAACAACTTGGTTAAGCAATTTCATAACATGTATACGTCGAAAATATTTGAATATTTTCAGAGCAGTGCCTGTAATCTCGTGTCTATAATATTGTTCCTAATATTGAGTCGGATTATGAAGGCAATGTAAGAACTTTTGACGCATTCAAACTGGAACAAACCATTCAAGATTGGGTAGTAGGTCATCGATAGGGGAGGGAACCAGTGCGGTTGCATTTAACCGCGTCAAAATTGGAGGTTAATCACAACAAAAATGAAGCCATATCCGCCAACTGTAACTGCTCTGAAAACAGTTAGCGGTTAACCGCAACGAATGGTTTGTACATGCGAGCCATGTCCGAATTGCTACTTGTGCGCACGATGGTGTGTTTGGTAGCTCAAGTACTCATTGATTTTGGACTTTATGTCATTCACTCGCAATCTTAATTAATTACACTTAGAAACTATTGATTAAAGAGGCTATTGCATGTCCAAATTATTAATTACGATTAGTAAATCGGTTACCCCTTATTCGATAGCAGTTAAACCACTATCTGGAAAATAGTGCATTTTGCTAACCGGTACGGCATAGTAGCCTTCGTATTCGGTTTGTGGTTTTGGTGCAATTAGTGGTGTAGTCTCGAAACAACCATTTTCGCACCCCTATTGATTGGTAATGGGTAGTTCTACACATATATGTGTGTGTGCATAGTGATTTTCTTATGAATTAGTGGATGTTGTAGGATTAGCTCCTTTAAATTCACATCACGTCATCACCAATGATTGTATATTTGTTGACTTCATGGTTTAGTAGGCTCGTTTAGATGCTGTAATAAAAAATATACATATTTAGCAAACATTTATTATACTAATTGTAGGTATAATAGTTTTGAATATACATGACAACGAGTATAAAGATGAAGTTTCATAACCTCCCTTCTCATATGAAATGGGGTGAGTTTGAGTCTACTATGAAAACCAGCCTCACTCTCATCTCAATCTCTTTTGTTTTTTTAATCGTCATCTCTAACTTGACCCAATCAAGTTGGGCACAAATTCTCTAAAACTCTAAAGAGCCTGGTCAAAAACTGCCCACGACGCCAATGCCAAATCCACCAACAATTAGAACGAAGCAAAGGATAAGCCTAAATAATCATCAGGATAGGAAATACCAAACACCATACGCTTTTTCCATCACAACCAAAATGAACAATTTGACAATTACTTTATTATAACCTGACAGACACCACCATTACCAGCAGAGCACTAATTGAAACAGCGACAAAAGTCTGCAGAAAAAAGCAAGAACAAAGACAAAGCACCACCCACCAATCCATATTCATACGCCTACAAAAAACCCCACCACGAATCCACAATACCTAATAACCCAACAACCAATCAGACAAAAGCAAGCGACGGTGCCCTGTTACAGATAACCCTTTCTTCTTCTCCCTTGACCATTCAATACTTCAACGCGTCGCCGGCGGCGGCGGATGCGATGATGGGAAGCTGCATCGTCGGGCAGGGAAGCTTCCACGGCTCCAGCATACAGTCAGGTATCTCGGGAATATCCACGGCGAACCCGCTGACGGCCTCGACGACCTCCAGCACCGAATTCAACGACCGGAGCCGATCCGTCAGCTCCATCGCCTGAGCTCTCATGATGTTGTTGGCCGAATCGATCTCCCTGAACCTCAGCCCGCTGACCTCGATCTGCTGCCCGAGCTGGGCGTTCTCCTTCTGCAGCTGGGTCGTCTCTTTCACCAGATCCTCCACCTGCTTCTGCTTCCTCATCCTCGACCGCCTCGCCGACTCCCTGTTCGAGATCATCCTCTTCCTCTTCCTCTCGTCCACATTCGCGTACCGCGGATCCGTGTCCGATCCCGAGCCCGAGCTCGCCGCCTGCCTTTGTATCGCCGGAGACATCACACCGATCTTTTTTTTTTTTTTGTTGCGCTAATTGATTTGCGAGATCTCAAAAAAAATTATGTATCAGAATTAGGATTCTAACAGTACCGGATCAATCTAGAGGGGGGCAATCAGTTCATGAGAAGACGTAGAACCAGTAGAGGAAGACGACGGAGAAAGAATGGAGGATTCGGATCCGACGCATGAGGATGGCGAGAGTCATAGAGTTTCTGAGATCATCGATACTCCATAAACGGTGCACCACCAAAGTAATCCTCCAAATTGAAATAGATCTGGGAAACGGAAACGAAGAACAAGGGGGAAACCCTAGATCTAGATGAGAGAGAGACGGACCAAGAGAAACAAATAGGGAGGGAGAAGCAAAGATCGAGAAGAGGACTCCTAGAGAAAGAGAGAGCCCGAGAAACAGAGATTTTAGCTGAATGAAATCGCAATTGAAGAATGGCGAAGGAGGCGGAAAAGGAGGAAGGTTTTACAACAATGGAGGATTTGTTTTTATAGAAAAAACTGCGACCCTCGGGTTCAATTATCTTCGTAGAAGAAATGCCAGCTTGCGGAGAAAATAATAATAAATAATAAAACGTTTAAAACAAAAAGAGTGGCGTCCGTGTTATTGCTGGCGTGCAGCATGACGCCAGCTGTGCTTTGTTATTTGTATTTTTGGGATGATTACCAGCTTTGATTGCTTGCTTACAGTTCTGGTTTCGTGATTTCAATGGCTAAATGCCTAAATATCTAATTTGTTTCCTATAAAAAATTCTCATTTTTTTTAATTTGGATTTTAAATTTTTCACTCAATTTTTTTTACTCAATCTCTATTAAATATGAGTTTTCATGAGCTCATTTAACAGATAGGAATGAATTGTTATTTTGTAGGCGAACGAGTACTTTTTTGTGGCATCAACTCTTGCAAGATCAAACGTAAAAAAAAAAAAAAAAACTCTTGCAAGATCAGCTCTAGATATCAGCCTACATACAAATTCACTACGGCATTGGGCAAAACTCATCAAGCTGTTGGAAGTGAATTGTTATTTTGTCCGTAAACGAATATTTTCTTGAAATATTGTCTCTCGTCAGATCGACTATAATTATCAACGTATAGACATTTTCACTAAGATGTTGGACGCTGAGCAGTTTCACTTGTTTTCAAGTTTGGTATTTGTAATTTGCAGAGACAATCTATCTCTGGAATTCTCCGTAGAGATTGTAATTTTACTGATTGGTATTCTAACTTGCCACTTTGACCTAGACGATTTGACTCAGCTGGGTACATTAAGGTGGCTGCAGAAGCTAAGAAAAAATAGCTTCACTCATGGAGTAAGCTGTAAGCCTCACACAAGATGAGAAAGAACAACATAAATTATGGTGTTGCGTGTTGCTATACTCGATCTCAATTTCTTCATGTTCTTCGACATCAACTTCCTCGTCGCGATTCTGCAGATCCAGGTACCAAATAGTGAGAGTTCAATGGCGACTATCCTCTTCGACGCTCAAGGATCTTCAGGGCAGTTCGCAGGTCAAGGAGCACCCTGAGCTTGCATAGATCATTGTTTGTCCAGAAAGCAATCAAAACTACTTCAACAGATCATGTAAAGTTGAAAATTTTGGTCAAGTCATCAACTAACTAGCTGTCCTTGTACCAAAACGAAGCAATAACAATATGTCAGTATGCCTAATACAACATTCGTTACACACACTAAAGTTCCCCAGGAAGCAAGGGGAAAAGAAGATCCCAAGCATTTTGCAGCGCCAGGCATAGCCAATCTTAAGTGACGTAGGGATTCCAGTTTCAAGCATCAATAAACCGAATGTCGAAGCTGGGGCGGGTAATCTGCCACACGTTCAAAGCAGCATATTCTTCTAAGCATTCTTTCAACTGTGCCTCGCTATACCCCTGTTGTTTCAAACCCACGCCAGAAAAAAACTCCGGTCAGAACTACAATGAAGGCTTTCAATAGATAATAATAATAATGCCTCTGGCTAAAACTATTTTAAGTTCAGTCTACAATTGTAGTCATCAGACCGTTTGTTTATTACCCATTGCTGGCAGGCTCAAGTAAATGACAGTTTGTTTGACTTCGACTTACCTTCCTAGATATCCAGTTAAGAGCATCAGCATAGCTCACATCCATTGTGTCGGCTCTTGCAGCTTCATCCCGCAAGATTGAGTAGATGTCTGAGATGGCATCCAGACCAGACTTTTGACGTTCCTCGGAATACAACGAGAACTTCGACATTTGCATTAGTCTAAGCGCCTCGTCGACATCACTTTGTGCCACGGTCTCTGAGAATCGGAGCCTTGCTAAGGCCTGTAACGAAGTTTGCATAGATAATGTAACAGTTCAAAATAACATATTAATAAGGGATTCAATTGCAACTCACTCTGCTTTGTGACGAAGGAAAACCAAATCCAAAACTCATTTGTTCATGTTTGGGTTGTGAAATTTTGTGATCCATTTGTGCCAGCATAGCTGCATCTGGCTACTTATGGGCAGACTGCCACTACAATTTGAATGAGAACGACTTACAGCTGATATTCGGAGAATGCTAAGCAGGGTTCGGACTGTTGTGTAGGAATGCGGAGCATTTGACTTGGCTTCTTCTTGACGAATGCTGGAGTATGCAGTGGCAATATACTCCTCAAGGTTCCTGGGCACATATGGCGAGAATCTTCTTGCAGCAGAAATATATGCACTACAATGAATTTGCAACACAAGCAGCTGTCAGCTCGCCATCTTGCTTTTAATAGACAACAAGCAGTTGAAAGCATCTCAACAATTCTCACTAGCAGACAACTGAATCATTCTTTTTTCTCTGTTATCATTCTGTTTTTTAATAGACAACTCTAGGCTAGCTAGTTTTTCAATTTTGCTTATATGAATGTTGTGTACAATTATGGAACAATGACAGGGGAGCATTGCATCATATGGATAGGTCAGACAGCACTAGCTTAGATAAACAAATAAAGAATTTTCAGAGACTTGAAAGAAAAGAAAAAATTCCAAGCCTTGGAGTATCAAAAGAATAAGCAGCACAAGGACTAAGGAAATTAGTGTGTTAATTGAGGAGATATCAAAAGTTCAGTATTCACCGGAGTATAGATGGTTCAAGAGGATCAAATCCAAGAGCAGGAGATTTCTTGTTTTGGTGCACATAAACAACATGCCTAGCCAGTTCAAGATCTGCATCCATATCTGCTCGATCAAGAATCAACCATAGAAGATCAAATCTTGATAGAAGAGCAGGAGGCAAATTGATGTTTTCAGCAGGACTTCTCCGCATGTCATATCTCCCCCTGCATGATGTCAAGATTGAAATGACAGTCAGATAATGAAACTTTTCCACTAATCAGTTGGTGGGTGGGGGTGGCGTGGTTTTAAGCGTCACAAAATCTAGAGGAAGCACATACCATGCTGGATTAGCTGCAGCAAGAACAGCAGTTCTTGCATTAAGCGAAGTGGTGATGCCAGCTTTTGCAATGCTGACAGTCTGCTGTTCCATAACTTCATGAATTGCAGTACGATCTGATTCATCCATCTTATCAAACTCATCAATTGCACAAATACCCATATCAGCAAGCACCTGAAACAGACCGTCATTAATTACAAGTATGTTAGGACTGAAAAGTTAGAAACACTATGATGAACTCAGTAAAGTTTTTGACAAACGATATATAATAGGTACGAAAAGTGAAATATTATTTCACTTTACAAGACTCAGATTGAAATGCAGAAAGCAAAAACAATATGCTACAAATATATGCAGATATGATGTGCAAATGCATGAACCTCACCAAAGCTCCGCCTTCCAAGACCATTTCATTTGTAACTGTATCTCTTTGAACAGCAGCTGTTAGACCAACACCACTGCTTCCTTTGCCAGTAGTATACACTCCCCTGGGCGCAACGTTGATAATGTGCTTCAGAAGCTGACTTTTTGCCACTCCAGGATCACCCATAAGACATATATGTAGATCTCCTCTAATCTGGATTTATTATCAGGAAAATCAGACAAGTAGAACTTAGAAGTTACTATCAACTCCACGTAAATGGATGATGCACACTCATGCAATAAGACCACTGCTGATAGTAAACAATAAATCTCACTGCCTTTGCATAGGGAACGTGGTACCTTCATCCCATCCTTCAATTTCCTATGGGGAGCGCCCACAAGGAGAAGTAGTAAAGCTTTCTTAATATCTTCATGTCCATAAATTTCAGGTGCTAATGACCGTGCCAACTTATTATATATATCACCATCTCCGGCCAGCCGCATAATTTGCTCTTCCTCATCTCCTCCCTGCTCATACCTGGCACATAACCAGGTTAGTGATGTGTAAGCTACTCATTGACTGTATAGGCTAAGTGTCTGATTCGAAACCAATTAGGGCTTACAACATCAAAGTTGCACTTACAAAATAAAATCACTTGCTTATTAGATTTTATCATTTCCTTAACCTAAATAAAAAAATGCATAAACATGCACATCAACAGTTCTTTTCATTAGTGCACATTGCATCTGTAGTAAAAATGGACAGTTTAAGATTCAGTTACTAAACATACTCAAAAAAAGCAAACATAAAAGACACTAACTAATTGCTTCCTTCTTCGTTCACATTGCTTAAAGACAATACTTGGCTAGCGGGAGGGAACAAATGAAAACAAATTAATAATGATAACAGGAAGGGCTTCTAGAAACTCGCTGGTTGCCTGGCAAGTGATTTGCCGTAGCAAAAACTTAAATGGCCTTACTCTTCATATCTTTTCTTGGAATGATTGACGGACATCACATCCAAATATGTATCAGCCACCAAGCCAGCACGCATTGCTCTGAATCCAGTGTACGGGATTGGAAGGAAGATTCCTGACAATTCAACTATGTCACCTGGGGCTACCTGATAGCAGAGGGCAAGTTAACAGCTTCAATATCACTTGTCAAACCAAAAGGCCATGTATCCCTTAACCAAGTGGGTAGAGTTTGTTTGACAGAGTTCAGCTTTTCATGCTTTACACGAGAAAAGAGGTATTAGGTCAGCCACCCACCTTTCTTGTTAGTTCGCCCCTAAAATGAATAGTCATGGACCGTGGAATATGGCCCATTGGAACATCTTCTGCCAACTCTTGAACCTTAGCCTGCAGATCATTACCAGAACAAGTAAAAGAGATCATTATTTGCTCCTGATTCTGTTGGCTTTCTTGCATACTAGACTGCAGTGACTTACCTCCTGAAACTTCTGAAACTTAGATGCTCTGAGCTGCAGAATAAGGTTTCCATTTCTGTTGTTTGTTACACAGCGTTTGGACGGGCATTTAAACAAAGGCATGAACGCCCGTGCAGTTACTTCCTAAATAACAGAATATCATTAAAGAATGCAAGAGGACCAATATACTTGGTTGCAAAATAGAAGCACAAACTGAAAATAGAACAGATAAAAAGGTCAAAGGATCAGTTTCTAGTCTTCTTTTCAGTCAAAGTACACAATCGAGTGTATACTTCATCACCCTGTGCTTTACCTGATATATCTCAAAGCCGCAGTCTTCGCATGTATACACAGCAACCTGCATCAGTGGCTTGACATCTGAACACCGTGTCACAATACCAGAAACTCTTACAAGGTGGCCAATATTGGAAGCCTTGACTGATCTGATGATCAATTGCTTGTCCTTTGAAGCTGCTTTAATATAAACTTCACTGTATACAGAAACAAGTGGCACCATATCAATACCGGAACAAATTTTATGAAGCCATATCATGATGGCGAACTTTTAATTATTTGGTTGCAGTAGTCATGTAAGTAGGCTGTTCCAGCAACAATTTTTTGAGAAGAACAATATTTTCAAACAACAACGAAGTGAGCGAGGGTTACAAAAGCAAAAACAACATCCACCATTTCATCGTACTATGAAGTGAGCTACAGCATGTAGTCCCAATGTGGAAATGGAAACAGACCTATTCATAGGGTAAACAAAATCACAAACAGGCGAATGACAAGCTTAGCCCAGTATCTCATGAAAATCGATTCTTTCAAACTGCACTACTCAAGCGAACCTAAGGAAGTGTCAGTTCAGTGAAGAAAGCTTACTAGAAACGCTTGATTTCAGGAGGCATTTTCTGCTGCTGATCAGAACCATCTGCACTCTCCGTTGGATCCTCGGACCTCTGCGTCATTAGTATGTCATGGTCATCATCCGGAAACGTCTCAGTTGGTTCAGGCATTAGCTCGTCAATCGCAGAGGCAAAGGTCCCCAGGTACCGTCTGGTATTCTCAGTAACCCGTTTAGGGAAATCTTCATCAGCGCCCGTCCACTGCAGCCAGCAGCCACTTGGCAAAAAATTAGGGTTTCCTTATCCCAGACTCCTAATGTCAGAACAAAAACAACAGCACGCCTCAAATAAAGAAAACGAGACTCACATTGTAGACGTCATCAAGCTCAATTTGAACTGCTCGAACCTTATGGTTTGCAACATCTTGCTGCAGCAGATATAAAAGAAGCAAATGTTAGGGCGGACAAGCAGACAATCTCAATTCATCGATTCGTCGTCCTTCGATTCCTCCGCAGTTTTTAAAAAAATGCGTACCGGGGAGATCTAGGGTTTTCATTTTTCAAATGTTAGGTTTAAAAGGGGGGATGGAAATCTCGCAGAGCGAAGAAAGGAGACTCACGAGGATGTTCATGTACTTAGCTTCGCCATTTGCATCGACGAACTCTCTCAGGAACTCCTTGGCGAAATCTGAGCAGAAAGCAGTGAGAGACGAAGCAAAAAGAAGAAGTCAACAAAAGAGGGGGGGAAATGAACTCACCTTTCTCGGCAGTCAGGTCGAGAGGTTTCATGATTCGCCGGGAAGGAAATGCGCAGGAGTCGAAGGAGGAAGTCGTGGAGATGCCGAACTGGAAAGTGAGAATGCGGACTTGAGAGTGATACCGATTTGCGAGGACGAGGGACTTTTTGGCGGTAAATAGATGAGAAGGGGATGATACTTTTGGCGGGAAAATGAGGCATAGTGCCGCCAACTAAACAAATAAATGTCTTGCATCATCTTCAACAATGTCAATGTCATGTTTGGTTAAGGTACAAAACTCTATAATATTGTAGTGCTATGATATTATAATGAATGATTGATTGAAAGATGATCTATTGGTGATCTTTATATAGTCGCAAGTAGGAATAGCAATGAATCGAGAACCAATCAGATGGTATGACACTTGAACCTGTCATGCTCATTAATTTTTGGACCTGCCCAATAACTTGCTACGGCTCTACGTTTTTAGGCCCATGACTTGAATTGTACAGGTCGGGTTTTACTCTCCCGAGTTGTTTTGTAAATACTAACTTGTTAACAAGTAGCAATTATACTACTCTATCCATATAAGAGAAAAAGAGAAACATTAAGAGGTCGTTTGATTCGTGGGTTTGGATGATGAATTTGGTACCCAAATTCATTCCATCATGGATTTAAGGAAAATTCATGGTTTGGTTGCATTTTTTTATGGACCAAATCCGTGGAGTCCACGGATTTTAAGGGTCCAAATTCGTGGACTCCACAGACTTGTAAATCTCACATATTGCTGTGGGATTTGTAACATGCTATAAATTCATGATGAGATTTTACCCATATACCCTCGTGAACTTTTAAAATTTCAAGTTTATCCTCATATTTACCTATTGTACATTATAGTTAATTAATTAATTAACAAATAAATAATATAAATAATCAATTAATGTGCAAAAATGAGCTAGATTTTTATACCCTTTCGTGTGTTCTAGTTTTCTTTGACCCTTTCATGGAATGTGTAATTATTTGTTCTTTGGTTCTAATATATGTAACTATAAAGTTACTTTTGAAAAGGAGGGCAAAGAATTGGGAATCAATATATGTTACGTTAAATGTTAAGCAGAATTTTTCCGTTTATTATCATTGTCCTTGTGACAACATTATGTTTATTCGTACATATTGTCATTGTTTTGTGTACATATCATAAACATGACAAACAAATAGAAAAGGATTGTATGGCAATTTTGGAATTTAAGTTTTGAATCGTAACCCTTAAATCCATGATAAAACATCTCAACAAACAAAAGATTGTTACAAATCAATAATGACTCAAATCCTTGGGTTTACGGATGAAACATATAACGGTGCAGCCGGTAGCCGACTTGTGTGGTTTAGTTGCAACTAAAAAAATTTAAGTGCTTAGTATGCAACAAAACTAATACTTACATGATATCTGATGCAATTAACCCTGCAACCGGAAGTCGACTTATGTGATTTAACTGCCACTAAAAAAACTTAAATGGTTACTGGTTAGTATGTAACGAAATCAATACTTGCGTGATTTCCGATGCAATTAAACATGTTAGCACCATATCCCTCGGTGTCCTGTGCTCTACGAAAAGAAAAGCTTTGTGAAAAAGAATATAAATTACGTCAAATAAAATGAAGGTAAAAGAACGAGAAAAGGAGAAGAAGAAGAAGCAGAAAGAAAGAAAGTTATGGGCAAAGTTATGTTTCTTGTACGTGTTGGTCAAAGAACTTGAAACAACAGGCCGACCAGGTCCAGGAGCGGCAGTCGTGATGTTGAACGAACGGCGGTCATGAGTCATGACCGGACAACATTACAAAGCAGTCAAACAGTCGCAATTTCGCCTCCCATCCCATGTTTAATTGTAACAGATTAAATGAAGATGTCGAATAAATAAACTAAACTAATCAGTATTTTTTTTATGGAGCGCCAGAGCGGGTTCCCTTCTCTCGTACTACAGGCGACGCGATTTGGTCTTCTGTACGTGCCTGTAAGGGGTTTTATTGATTACCATTTGTAGGTGGTTAGAAAAATAAGGTGACAATTATGTAGTCTAAGAAATTTCTTCCTGTTAGTTTTTTGCCCTTAATTATCAATTGCATGCTTTGATTATGGATCTTGATTCAATTCTTCTTTCTAGACGGTATATTCGTGATCTCTTAGCAATACAAGCACCTATTCATAAAAAAAAAAAAGTAATAATCTCCACTATCACGGTTTGTATGTAGCTATTTTCCATCAGAATACATTTTATAAGAGTAGTCATTCAACAACTCACTTCTCAACCCTTGGTTGATTTTATTTTAAGGATTGGAAAAAATATCAAATTTATTTTATACGAACCAAAACAACCATTTCCACCGGATAACACATAAAGTAGCATAAGTTTTCTCTCGAGTCTTCTTGTTGCGAGCTATTCCGCCTGTCAAGCTTGGTTGCCTCGCCGGCGACTGTGCTCATCCTTCCTTCTTAGCTTATCTCTTTTCTCTCGTTGTCAGTTGCATCCAATGAGCGATTTGTCTCCGATTCTAGAATTCGTTCATGTTGAAACCGAGGGTGTTCCTTCGAAACCCAACGCCAAAACTTTTTTTTGGCATTTTGGAGGCAAACCATTTGTGCTATGAGTCTCCTTGTCCCCGACCCAAAGCTTCTAGCTCTCTCTCCAATCTTGCAATTTCCTTCTCGACCTCTTCATTCTCTCTTAAATCTCTCGCACTTTCCTTATCAAACCTCTCTTGGTCAGAAGTTGCCCTAACTTCGCTCGTGGCTAGATTGGTGACTTCAAGTTGCATTCTCCTCTCTTCAAAGCAATCCTTTGGATGTCAGAGACCGTGTATCGTTTTTATTGAACACAAATATTCCCACCGATGTACCAATGATCAGCTTGTTAAGTAAACGGGACAAGATCCATATTCATTTATCTCTCCAGACAAATCGAGTTATTCGGGCTGATCAATATTGTCGACGACACTTCGAAGAGTATTCTCTACATATTTTTTTCTATATATAAAAAAGAAAAAGAGGAATGAAAATTTCGAAATAGCTAGCCAACTCTAACCAACCTAATTTAAAAGTAGGATTCAATAATATTTGGGATACCATGTCGCCACAAAGAGCTTTGAAAGCTTTCTTGTGCCCATCTAGAGGAACTTCGTTGTTTTTAACTAACAAAAAAAAAACTCACAGAGAGAGGTGGGATGGATTAGAATTAGACAGTAATAACAATAGACTGTTTTCCATGTCCCCATTCCATTTGGTTCCTTGTGTTTTGTTTCTTTCGTGACTTGGACCGAAGACATTATTCCGCACCAAAGTTTGACTGTAATCCAAGCAGGCCGGTACAAAGAAACAAACCTCGCTTTCACTACATGTCACGTCCTTGGGGGCGATAACTGTAATTCCACTCACCAAAAAACACACACATTCTCAAGAACCACACCTTCGAATTTCGATATATACCCCCAAATTATCATCACCCTCTTCGTTGATTATTTCGTTAATCCAATTAAGTGCCCAATTCCCTCCTCCACCATCTCTCTCTCTCTCTAGATCATCAGATCGTCCCTCTAATCCACTTAGTTATCATCATCATCATCATAAATAATATTCCCCCCTCCGATCATCATCATCATCCATGTCGATCGATCTCCTCGAAGCCAATCATCCTGCAGCCCTACAACCCGGCAAAGGGCTTCAGCTGTTCAATCATCGTCCGGAGCTTCCATCGTCGAAAACCACCATGGCTTTCAACGACTACTTCGTCACCACGTCACAGCCGATGCACGAGGTGAAGAGGCTGGAGAACGTTATTACTCGCGGCGGCGGCGACAAACACAACAATATCAGTGGTACTACTACTACCACCACCATATCCTCGTCGCTTGAGCTTCTCAAAAGCTACGGGAAAGGGTTCAGGAAGCTCGACGCAGTCCAATCTCGCGATGAAACGACGACGAAGAAGAGGAAGCTGTCGACGGAGGAGGTGATGAGGGTTGCTGGAGAGAGGTACATCCAGCTGTCGGACAGCCCGAGGTGCGACGACTTCACCATGCTGATGCACCCGTTCGGGTACGCGCTCCCCTCGGCGCTGTCCGAGGGGGAGATGATGGACGTGGAGCTGGCCCACCTTCTCTTCGCCGCGGCGGAGAAGGTGGGCTACCACCACTACGACCGCGCCAGCAGGCTGCTGACGCGGTGCGAGTGGATCGCGTCGGACCGGTCCAACGCGGTCCAGCGGGTCGTGCACTGCTTCGCGGAGGCGCTCCGGGAGCGGATCGACCGCGGGCTCGGGAGGTTGTTCCTCGGGATCCCGGAGGTGTACGGATCGTCCGCCTCCGCGAGCTCGATCTCCAACGGATTTGGTACGAACTTCTATACACACTAAGGCATGCATATCTATATAGCAGAACAACTTCATTATTCACTTGTAAATTTATGCCCTAGCTGCTTAGATGAGTCGTCGTTGAGTCATTATTTATCGTATTATTGTTATTTATGTTAGCATAACATAAATATCATGGTCCTAACGACCACTACAACGCATATATGCATTATATGATCATTCAAACCAGGTAATATATGTTGTTGCTAGGAAGTGGTATAGATTCATACATGAATCTCTCTCACCAATTCGAGTTATTGAGACCAGTTGGTTTATTACATGTTATTATAGCCGGTTTGATCGTAAGGTCTCGTACGTATTAGAAAGTGATATATAGATCCATACATGGACATTATCCTATAAATCGAGTCTCAGTCATCCTGATTCTTATTGTCATTAGTCGATCGGCATAAATATCAAGATCCTAACAACCACTACGACGCATATATAGATTCATCCGTAAATCTTTTTCAACGACTCGAGTTGTTGGAATCAATTGGTTTATGATGTAGTATTAGAGCTGGTTCGATCGCGAGGACTCTTGTTCAAATCCTTTTAACCCTGATATTAACAGTTGTTTATGTGCTCTGTGCAAACTTCATCCTGTAACTCGAGTTATCAAGAGTAATTGGTTTAGGACAGATCTCGTTAACGCGCGGATCATCGTATGATCCTTACTTACGTACGTTTTATTTTTTGTGCAGGTATGAACCTGTCGTCCATCTGTCTCCACCAGCAAGTCCCCTTCAGCCAGGTCCTCCAGCTGACGGCCGTCCAGGCCATCGTGGAGAACGTCGGCTCTGCCAGGAAGCTGCACTGCATCGACCTGGAGATCCGGAGCGGCGTGGTCTGGACGGCGCTGATGCAGGCCCTGTCGGCGAACCAGGCCGACGGAGGAGGAGTGGAGCACCTCCGGGTCACCGCCGTCGTCCGGATCTCGGAGCGGTTCGAGGTCGACGACACGGGGAAGCGGCTGGAGAGCTTCGCCCGCTCCATCAACTTCCCCTTCAGCTTCCACGTCGTGTACGTGGCCGAGAACCTGAGCGATCTCAGGGAGGACGCGTTTCGGATCGGTTTCGACGAGTCGGTGGTCGTGTTCTGCTCTTTCGTCCTCAGGACGCTGCTCGCCCGCCCACACCGCTTGGAGGTACGTTACATCACACTCTCTCTAGCTAGCTATATTTCTTCTTCTTCTTCTTCTTTTTTATATCTCTGACACAAATCCTAAATCTTGAGAGTCTATGGTTAGTTTTGAATTCGAGTTCTGTTTATAAGACATTATGTTTCTAAAATGGATGAAGTTTAGACTATAAGTCCAGAAAATTCCTTTTAGAGTGGAATAAGGGATTTGAAATTACGGGTTCGTTTAGATTGAGTATATGACAAATTTGTTATCTGGGACCAATTATCATATAATATAAATTTTTTATTTGATATGTGATATTTGATAGATATCTACCCTTGAAAAGTATTTGGCAAATTTTTTGTATTAGTTGGTCTCAAATCCGTTATTTGACAAAAAGGCCACATCTTAATAACACATCCCATTTTTTGTCAGCCAAACATGTTATTTGGGGTCAAATAATACCCCAAAATACTCAATTCAAACGACCCCTACATGAATTTTACAAACAATGACTTGCTTTAGTAGTATATATTGACATTTTCAACGTGGAGGTCACATGCATGAAATTAAAGTTAATGACACATGAAGCTTATGGGGTTCCTCTAACTACCAAAATGTAGCTAGCTAGTCTACTGATAGAAGAAAGTGAATTCACTACTTTTTTTTATATATAAAAAAAAAATTGGTTTGAGAATTGACAAACCTAGCTAGATACATATTATGATGCTGGTTAAAGAGTGCATTGATATATATAACCACTTTGATAACTCTAAACCAAAAAAGAACAAAAAACAAGATCCAAAATATTATCTCTTTAGTCATCAACATTGTGTACATTTTTTCCCCAAAGGAATTAGCCTGACGAAAATGCGAGAATGAGAACACCCATCACGGTCTAGTTTTTTATTTTTTTAATGCCACAACCAACCAACGAAAATCCGCCATAACTACAATTTGATCATTATCCGTCTTGTGTGTCCCCCTCCTACTTGCAGAACTTGATGAGAGTGATAAAGAACCTCCACCCAACCCTAATGGTGGTGAGCGAGGCCGAGGCGAACCACAACTCCCCCGTCTTCGTCACCCGCTTCATCGAGGCCCTGTTCTACTACAGCGCCTACTTCGACAGCCTCGACACGTGCATGGAGAACACCGAGCACCGGACCATGATCGAGGCCACGCTCTCGTACGGCCTCAGGAACATCGTGGCCATGGAAGGCAACGAGCGGAGCGCGAGGAACGTGAAGCTGGAGGTGTGGAGGGCGTTCTTCTCCAGGTTCAGGATGGTGGAGCTAGGGTTCAGCGAGTCGTCGATGTACCAGGCCGGGCTGGTGATCAAGCAGTTCCCGCAGTGGAAGTGGTGCAGCGTGGAGAAGGATGACAACAAGGGTCTCGTTGTCGGGTGGAAAGGGGCGCCCTTGTTCTCGCTCTCCGTGTGGAAGTTCTCTCGGGATAGGTTGGGGAGGTTCTTTAACTATCGTTTCGGTTGATTATGTTTCAATATACAGTTAGTTTATATAATAACTGTCTAGTTTTAACTTTGTTTTTTCACTTGCTGCTGTGTTGTTACCTCGTTGTGATCGTCTTGTTAATTGTGGTGTTTTATTGGAACGAGCAATAAGAAATAAAAGCAAGCGAGGTTTTTAGTAATACAAGGTGATCCTTGTATATAAATGTCCACAAGCTAATTAGTAGAATACCCAAAAGTAAAATCGTGCAACCTTGATCAAAAGCGGACAATATCGTACTAATAATGGAGTTGTTCGATTTTGACAAGTGGGTTTCAGGGCTTTTGGTTCGGGACATTGGACGTCAGTTTGGTGGGACCCACATTCGTTGACATAAGAATTTCAGAGTTGCGTGGCATTTCAATGAGAGTTATGCGTCCGGGAAAATCCTTTGTACCGAGAAGCCCATCGATACAAGGTGTCTGGTGGATCGAGATAATCCTTGAGGAGAGGACACGAATAGGGTTGGCAACGGGGCGGATCGGGGACGGGTAGCTAGTTCCCGTTACCCATCCGTCAAGGAGGACGGATTTCCCCGTCCCCGTCCCCGTCCCTTTGTCGGGGCGCGTTTGGTTTCCGTCACCGTCCCCAGACGGATTCGGGTAAACCACGGATCACCACGGATCCTGAGTAAAATACAAAAAAAAAAAGGAAAAAACTAATAAAAAATCCCTGAAATTCAAACTTCAAAGTACCTTGATGTTCAAGGCACATAAATTCAAAACACAAAAGAGAAGATCTGGGGCTGTAACCCTCCCACCACCCAACACCCAGATCTTCATTGTTCAAACAATGAAACAAAAGTGATAGGTTGCAGCAACCAAACAAGCTGCTGCAACCAAAACCCACCACCCAAAACCCATATAACATGTTCTTCACTACACTAGTGTTCAAGTTCAAAACTCAAAAGGAAGAGATAAAAAACAAAGGCAGACAGCCCCAATAACATCATCCATAAATCGAACTAAAACCTATACTAATAGCACACACGAGTTCCTTTGATCTTTTCTTCCAAAAAGTAAGCAACACTATGCTGCTGGAAACCAACTCAACACTCAACAGCAGCATTCATCCTTGAAAAATGAAAAGCAATCACTGCAAGAAACAGAGTAGCAACCACAGTTAGATAAGTGAAAGTCACGTTTAAATTGAACAAGTTAAAAGGCTCAAGTCTAGCTCAATACCTTGAACCTTTCATTGCATTGAACAAATCAGTCGTCTAGGGATATTAGATGCTTCCTCATCACAAGGCCCCCCTGAACTGTAAGAATAAAAAATTACAGTTAGAGATTGAAACTATCAAACTAAGTACCAATCTAAATTGAACTAATTACCAGCTTCGTCTTGATCTTCAGTACTGGAATCTGAAATTGCTAGAGCAGAGAACACCCCTTCCATTGCCTCTACAGCAGCCTTCGATGATTCTGCAGATTGAAGAAAACAATGAAAAAGATAATTAATATTCAATCAAGTTAACATTTTAATGAAAAAGACAAGTAATTGCATATTACCTTGTTGCATTTCCTCCATAATCCAACTTCTGGTACACATCATTGCCTCTATTGTATCATAGTGCAATCTACTCCGATGAGGGTCTATTAACCTCCCACCAGAGCTAAAAGCAGATTCAGAAGCCACTGATGTAATTGGTATGGCCAAGAAATCCCTTGCAATTGCTTGCAAAGTGGGGTACTTAAGGCCATTCAGTTTCCACCACATCAGTATATCAAAGTCAGGAGACCTTTTAGGAATCAGTTCCTCAAGAAGATAGTGATCCAGTTCAGTATGGACCAGAGTTGCTTTGCTTTTTTTCCTCCGACTCACAAACAGTTCAAAATCAAGATCATCATTTGCAGGAGTAGAAGAACTATCATAAGCAGTTGAAGAACCAGAATTGTTCCTCTCAGACTTGGTTTGGTAATCAAGCACCAAACCACAAATACATTGCTTAATCTTATCAGCCACCAAGTCAGTATTAGTACTGCCAAACTTAGCAGCATAATACTCAATCACATGCAACTTGTATCTAGGATCAAGAACCACTGACACACCGAGAACCAAGTGTATATCATCCCAATACTTAGAAAATTTCTCCCACATACTCTCAGCCATAGCCGAGATAAGAGAATTGGTATCAGCACACCATTCCAACAATTTCAGTCTCAGATCACAAACCTTGGGGAAAAACAAATTAGCAGTGGGATACTTGCTGCCAGAAAACAGCTTTGTGATCTCACTGAAAATTTCTAGCTTATCAATGACCATAGCAGCAAACTCCCAGTGCATACTAGTAGGGACAGTGGTGTATTGACTATCCCACTGCCTCAAACGAGAGAAAACATCTCTATACACAATGGCTGTAGATAGCATATCATAGGTGGAGTTCCACCTAGTTGGACAATCAAGCACAAGTTGCTTCTCACAAGGCACTTTAAGCTGCTTAGCAGTTTCAAAGAAGGTTTGTACCCTCTTAGGAGTGGACTTCCAGTACACAACACTATCTCTAACCAATTCAATGCCATCTTTGATGACTTCCAACCCTTCTTTCACAATGAGATTCAAAACATGAGCAGAACATCTCATTTGAACCAGCACACCATCCAACAACAGATCATCAATAGCAAGTTTAGTTTTCATATGAGTAATCATGGCATCATTGGTGGTACAGTTATCCAAGGTAATCGAGGATAACTTTCTATCAAGATTCCAACCAAGCAAACACTTGAACAACCTATCTCCCAACCTCTTACTAGTATGAGGGGCAGGGACATAGATGAAACTCAACATCATGTTTTTAAGTTTCCAAGAATTGTCAATAAAATGACCAGTAACCGCCATATACCCCATCTTTTGGTTAGTTGCAGTCCACATATCAGTTGTGACTGCAACTCTACCAATATTACCATCTAAAACCTTCTGAAGCTTTGCCATCTCAGCCCCATATAAAGCAAATATGTCCCTCTTCACTGTATTTCTACAAGGGACAGTGAACTGGGGTTGCAAAGAACAACAGAAACGTTTAAACCCCACATGTTCAACAATGTTCAGGGGATACTCATGCACCATAATCATAGAGCACAATTCCTTCCTAGACACATCAGAATTGAATTGAGTAGCAGATAGGAGGGGTTTTCCAGTTGGTTTATAATCAGGACCAAGAACTCTCTGCCTACCATCATGTATCTTTCTTTGGGTGCAAGTTTTGTAATGGTTCCTCAAGTGGGAGGTTCCATTACTAGTATCACCACCTAAACGTTTTCGACAGTATTTACACTTGGCTTTAATCTCCCCATTAAACTTGACCCTCACAAAATGTGGCCAGACATCAGAAGTCAATTTACGATCTTCAGCCAGAATTATTTCAACATTTTCATTCCCAGAACCATTAGCATCATTCCCAGAACCATTACCATCATTCCCAGAACCATTAGCATCATTCCCAGAACCATTACCATTAACATTGCCATTACCATTACCATTACCATTACCGTTTTGATTAGAAGGCACAGTAGGATCATTCGCATTCAAAGCACAATTTTCAGTAGCACCATCCATCTACATAAACAATTAAATAATTGCATTCAATAAATCAACCAAAACTATAAACTACCCAGACAAATCACACAACACACAATACAAATTACAATCGACTAAATCGAGAGTTGAATTGGACCAATAAAAAAGGAAAGTCTTCGATTGGAAGTTACCTGTAATCTGGAGAGGGACTGAGGGAGACTCTGTTCACCAGACTGCAGATGGTGAGCACTGAGCTGATGCCTCGAATGATAGACACAGCTGATGCCTCGAATGCGAAGCTAAACAACTCCCAAACAAAGCCAAAAATACAAAAGAAAATTAGCATGCATGCATCGAATGATAGACACAGCTCATGAATCTGGAAAAATAATGGGTTAAGTTTGTGCTTACCTCGACTGTGCTCTGAGCAGAGTGTAGGTAATGGGTTTAAGGAAGAAGGCTGACCAGTGACCTGAAATTAATCGAGGGGTTGATTTATATACGAGAAGAAGGAAGAAGGCAAGAAAGTTGCAGCAGAATACGAAAGGAAAAGGGGGAGAAGGAACTTATCTCGCTTGATGTGCGATATCACGTCGATTTCCCCCAATAGCTGCAAATCGAAGATTGCAGCGGGCAATTTCGGGCTCTGCATGCTGTTTCCCGACGAAATCGCCGGCAAAACTAGCATCCAATTGGCCAAATTGAGAGATAATGATTGCCAGTAGGCAATCATAATTGTATAAAGAAGCTGGATTGGGAGGAAATCGTGGGGAACAGAGAGATTTTTGAGAGGATTAGATGTTTGGAGATTCGATGGAGAGAAAGAAGCTAGGGTTTCGGGAGGTTCTCGAAGAGGAAGTTGAGAGGATTAGAGGAATGGGAGCAGTCGTTTGGGACGGCGGAGAGTGGAAAATGAGAGATTAGGGTTTGCTGGGCTCGTTTTATGGTTTATATACGATGTCTAAGCGACGTCGTTTTATGATTCGGGGCGGGGGCGGGGCGGATACCACTAATACCGTCCCCACCCATCGCCCGCGACCCACGGGTTTCGGGTAAATCCGAATCCGCCTATAACCCACAACGGACGGATTTTTAGGGTATAATTCGGGCGGGTTTCGGGTGGATACCCGCTGGGTCGGTCAGGGTTGCCAAGCCTAGACACGAAGCTCGTGGTCCTTGTCTTGAGGGGAGGATTGTGATTTGTGATGGACAATCCAAGTACCACATCAGTAATACAAGTGAATGGACCCTTGTATATAAGTTTCCACCAATCTTATTATTACGAGGCTTTTTGGATAAGATACCAAAAGTACTACTGTATGAGTTTGGTCTAAAGCGGACAATATTGTACTAATGGAGCTGTCAGATTTCGATAATATGCAACAAATTACATGCACAATTTTGGGGTTTTAAGGACTATGGTTTAGGTTAGCTTACGCATCTTACCGTATGTTTTATTATTTACATAATGGATTAACCGGAGTGTGGGCATGAAACTACACCCTAACCTTTAATGGTATACCTCAGTCCCCAATA